AGGGAAAAACAAAGCCAGCTTTGGATTTGGATCGATCTGAACAAGAACATCGTTTTGCTAAAAATTAGTTTAAGAACTGTAACCTCTCCAAGGCTCCGAACAGTACCTTATGGGGTGGGGAGGGTTAATAGCGCGACGTGGGAATGTTCTAAACACAGTTCCTGGCTTGTCCTCCTGGTTGGCTGGACACCAGGTCTTTGTGAATTCTGGAAAGGCCGCCTCTTTCTGTCTGACCACAGAAAGGGAGACTTGGTCTCCAACCTTCTACCTCCCAAGGCAAACCTCCATTTCAGGTTCCAGGACAAGTCACAACGGCAGTGTGTGCTCGAGTCCCGTCATCCTCCACCAGATCCTCTGTCCCTCCCCTGCAGACCCTGCCACCCTCCCGCCTCTGGTCTGAGGAGGGAGGCCAGTCCTCTGCACCCACCTCACCCCCTGGCCAGTGTGGTCTGGCCTTACCCCTCGGCCCTGCTCTTTAAAGTCTGAGGGGAAGGGAAGGGGAGGAGCGAGATGTGATGGGCCACAGGGCTCACAGAGGGTCTTTTCTGCTCAGAACCTCAGAAGAATCTGGAGGGAGTTCAGCATATTTTAACAAATAGCCCCTGAGCTGAATGTGGATTTTTAAAAGAGCTTGAGGGATAGATACCTACCAGTGTAGCATTTTCTAGGTAGGTGGAATTGTGGATGTTATTTTTCTTGTGGATTATCTATATGTTCTAGTATTTCAGTAATGATTTTAAATTGCTTTAAAGTAAGAAATTTTAAAATCTATTTTTAAAGAGATGATAATTGCACAGTGTTGTGCGTTTCTGTCACCTATCTTGGGACAGTGTGCAATGGAGAGTGGATGAACTGAGAATCAGAGAGGCTTGGCTGACATCCTGTCTCTGCTCCTGGTCATTTGGGCAACTGGGCATATGCGCCTTCTTTACGGCCATGGGATCCTTCCTCTCTTCAGGGGGCAGTGGTACCTGTCACACAATGGGATGGCATAGGTAGTGCATTGGGTGAGCACACAGGCTCTGCTTCAGCTATGGCCACATATTAACCTTTTCACTTTGAACAGATTATTCAAGTTTTAGTTTCCTCATCCCTAAAATAGAGCTGCTGAGGATAACACTGCCTCTTACTCCTGTTGTAAGTATTGCTGAAGAAAGTTGCCGGCCAGGCCCTGACACCCACCAAGCCCCCCACCCCCACCCCGCCCCCGTAAGCATTAGCCGTGTGAAAAGTGCCTGACAAGCGTTAGTATGGCTTTTATTCATGTAATTCCCATCCTTTCTTTCTCTTCCCCTCTTCCGCAAAAGCAAGAAGCAGTAGGCAGGGTCCCAGTGGAAAGGGACAAGGGACATGGACAAACAGGAGGGGAGGAAAAGGGGAGCAAGGAAAGAAGAAAGCAAAGGTCGAGGCTCTTTATCCTGGGTGACCTTTGGTCTCTTCTTCCTCATCACCTTCCCCACACACACAGCTGAGTCCTGGGGGCAAAGGAAGCAGAGAGCCAGTCTCTGTGGGCAAGCCCTCCGAAGCCCTGTGTCCTGCTGGCATCTTCACACTCTGCTCCTTCCCCCAGCAGGGACCCCAGTCCATCATGTCTCCCAGCTCAGGCAGGACTGCACACAATGAGCCATCTTTCCATAAGGGGAGTCCTGGGTGGAGGGTACTAGGATTTAGTGTTCTTCCTGGCAAAGCCAGATGACCCATCGCCATTCCATCGCTTCCTGAAGGACTGGGAAACAGCAGTTGGTTTTGGAGGGGTTCTGCCATCCCCAGTTGTAAGTCCTGAGCCACTTCCTTACTTAACCTTATCACCTCCTCTGCCCATAACTGGGTCTAATGAGGGGAGGGTATTAATGGTGCATTGTCATATGTGCCGGAGGTGGGTCTCCCAGTGTGAGTGGGTGAGCAGCAGCTTGAGAGGGAGCTGCTCTTGCCACTCTGAGTGTGAGAGAAGAGTAGGCTCTGCCAGCTCGGAGGAACTTCCGTGTCTGCTTCGAGAGGCCCAGGGCACACCTGGGTCCTTGCCTTCCTGAATCCTCTCTGCTTGCCTCTCCTTGGCATGAATGACACTCAGGCTGGAAACCAGAGTCCCCAGAGCCATGGGGCTAATCCTGAAAGTTGGAAGGGAGTTGCACATTGTTGAGTGGAAGGCACTGACTGTCTTGAGATGACTCGGGCGCGGGGAGAGACCTCACAGGCACTTCCTCCTGGATGAGGACCCCTCATTCACTCTCTTCCCAAGAGGGACCAGGTAATGGGGTTAAAAGGTAGGGCTACTCCCTAAATTCTAGGATTCTTATGTATTCTTAAGCCAAGGAGTTTGAGGAGTGTGTGGGTAAAAGGGAGGAGATTCATGCAAGGCCTGGGCTTGGGAAATGGGTTAGGAAAACCAGAGGAGACGGAAGGACAGAGGGAGAAACCCACATATGAATGGAGGAGGGGAGGATGCCACAGCTACATGGAGAAGGTGAATGCCATAGCGGGAGGGGCTGAGGGGCTTCACGGGGGAAGGGAACGGAGACCACTGCCTGGGCCTGCAGGAACAGGTGCTCGCTGCCTCTAACCCTCAGGTGCGGCCTGCTAAGGGTGTGTGTTTGGGGGGAGGCTGGGGGTCGGTGGGTACACCAGGCCTTGTCCATCCTTCCTTTCCTTCTTTCTCAAGGGCCAAAACTCCTCTTCCTCCTTCCCTCTTCCTCGGGAAGGAGGAGAGGAGGATGGTCTCTTGCCCTCTGTTCTTAAATCGGTTCTCCAACCATACCCCACCCCCACCCCCACCCTATACTGTCCTTTTAAGCGTCTGAGGCTCTTCTCCCATTTCCCAGCTGGGCCAAGCTGGGCCGCAGCGTCCCTCCCCTCCGTTCCGCTCCTCTCCATCCCTACAGGCGTCGGGTCCAGGTCTACAGCTCCTCCATTCCCACAACCTCAGCATCCCCGCGGCACCCTCCCCCACCCGCCACAGCTGCATCCCGACCCTCCCTCGCCACCGGGATCGCAGGACCCGGACCCATTCCTGTCCCCTCTTCCCCCCCCACGACTCGGCACGGCTCTCACCTCGGGGGCTCCGCGGCCGCAGCACAAAAGGCGGCGCTGCTGCAGCTCGGCTCCGGATGCTGCTCCCGCCTCCTCCTCCTCCTTCTCCTCCTCCTCTCCTCCCTCCGCTGCCCTCCACCGGACCCGGGGCGCCTTCAGAGGCGATGCTCGCGCGGGGTACCGGTGTCAGCCCCAGATGTCTCCCCCCACCCCCCAGCCCCTAGCCCCGTCCCTGCTGCGCTTGAACTCCCGCTCCTTCCAGGCCCCGGCCCCTGGCCCCCCGGGACGGACACGCCCTGAGCGGGGGATGCTACGCCGGCGCCGCCGGCCTCTTAAAGGAGCCCGCCGCCGCCGCCGGTGCTCTCCGGGCTGGTCCCTGCCTGTCCGGGGCCCCCGCCTCCCACCGCGGGCCTTATGCTGATTCCATAGGCGCCCCTAAGGCTAGTCCTATAATCCCCGCCTACACCCCGAGGCAGTAGCCCCTGCGGTGGGAAAACACCCCACCCTGCGCGCCAGCACTGCTCCCCCAGTCAGACCGATTTCGCCAGCTTTCCTTCCCCGAATTGTCACCGCTCCAGTCCCAGCCAATGGGAATCCTCCCAGCCCAACTCCCGCCCCCTTCCGTGTTCCTGGATGACCCCCGACAGTCCAAGATTCTCTGGACCCCCACCCCGGGCCCGGCCTTCTCTTAGGACACCCATTAGAACCGGAAAATTTTCGTGATTCCTTTCTCTGCAAGGTCACAAGATTTTCCCTTCGCCTTTCCGTTCAGGGGTTGTGAGACTTTGGGAAGGAGGGACTGGATCTCGGAGAGTCAGATGAGCCGACTGTTTTAAGAGGCCAACATTTTTTCTTGCTCTCAGCTGAGACCCCAGACCCAGGGCGGCGGCGATGAGACCACCGCGTGCGTTAGTCCTTCCAACCCTGCCGTCCCGATTCTCGGGCTCCGGAGGGGTCTCCTGGCCGGCCACAGAGGCTCCCCAGGGGGAACCCGCGAACAGCCACAGAGAGGTTCTTTCTAAAAAGGCTTTAGAAAAGAAACGGACACCGACAGGCTGCGGGGCAGAATTACACGCGAAGAGAGGTAAAGGGACGACCTAGGAAGAGGAAGCAGGTTCTGTGAGACGAAGGCCCGGACGCCGGGGGCCTGGGCTGAGGGTCAAGGTGAACTGCCTGAGAGGGACTGGCACTCGGAGGGGCCGGGAGCGGTGCTCCCCCGTCTCGGGCAGGCCGCCCCTCGCAGACGGCGAACAGTCAGGACCCGACGGCAGCCTCACCGCTGGCCAATCACAACCTTCTCTCCAGAAAGGGGCGGGGCCAAAGGGGCTGACTTTTTCCTTGTCCCGCCCTCCTGGGGGAAGTAACCAATCGCAATACACCTAGAGCAAGTAAGCGCAGTCGGGAATAACCAACGGCGCCGGAAGCTTCTCGTGCCAGCTTGACCCTGCCCCTCCAGCTGCGACAAACGTGACCCGCGAGCTGCTGGGTTCGGTAGTTTTCTGGGCGCTGGACACCTTACCCCCCCACCCCATCCCCGCTGGGGTTCGCCCTACCGCCCGCCCCAGCTGCTTCCACGCTGCCAATGCGCATGTCCGGAGCTCCCTCCTTTCCCCGCCTCCCCCGGACCCCCAGCCAGGGGAGAGGAGGCGCGGAAGGAAGGAAGGAGGCGGGATAGTATTTAAAACAAACAACCCACCCTCATCTCAGGGAGCGACTGTGCAGGGGTCCGCTCCTCCCAGAAGGCGGCGCTGCCTGCGAGGGCGGGCCGCGCGGAGGCTTGTGGGGCGGATAGCTCCCCTGCTGCTGGAGACGCATGGAGGCGGGCGGGCGGGGGGACTCCATGTCCCAGAATGCCCCACGGCGGGCCCGACCGGCCGCGACTCCGGGCTTGGCCCCGGCCCTAGCCTGTCGGCGGTGTATTGGGGCGCGTGGAGGCAGAAGTCACGGTGGCGCCCGCGGGGACGGAGGAGGGAATGAGTGAGGAGGAGCAGGGCTCCGGCACTACCACGGGCTGCGGGCTGCCCAGGTGAGCGGCCTGGCAGCGACCACTGCGGGGCGAAGAGCGTGGCGCCGTGCGGAGGGGTAGCGGCGCGGCCCCAGCATGCACCTGGCCTGGGGGTTGTTCCCGGCAAGCACTGGGGTATTGGGCCGCGGTTCCCGGCATCCACCCATCCACCCGAGCAGTGGCCACAGCCTCCAGCTCGAAATAGTTTGGGGGCTGGTCCGGTTCCCAGACTGCATTGGGGCATTGGGCTTTATGCCCCCGACATTCAGTGCATTTGGTGGGTAACTGAGTACCTGGCTGCACTGTGTTAGGGGACATGCACTTCCAACCTGCACTCGAGTGCAGAATCCCACGCCTTAACTGAGGCAGGAACAGTGCATTCCCCGCTTGCCCTGGGGCAGTGGACCCTGCTTTCCCAGCCTGCACCTCTGAACACTGAACCTGGCCTATGACTGCTGTGCTGCCTGGGGTCCCCTGGACCTTGTGACCCCCCCCCCCCCCCCTAGTGTGCCTGGGTCTGATACAGCAGTGGTTGGCCAGGTGGGTGCAGAGAGGGGAGGTGTGATGAGGGTCTGTGCCCCTCCCCCCCAGTATAGAGCAAATGCTGGCAGCCAACCCAGGCAAGACCCCGATCAGCCTTCTGCAGGAGTATGGGACCAGAATAGGGAAGACGCCCGTGTACGACCTTCTCAAAGCCGAGGGCCAAGCCCACCAGCCTAATTTCACCTTTCGGGTCACCGTTGGCGACACCAGCTGCACTGGTGAGGAAGGCGTGGGTCAGCCTTGCTGGGGTGTTCATTCACAGGGCTCCCCTGGCTTTATTTCTTGGAGTCTCTTCACAGTCCTCTTCTCCAAGAGCAGTGAGGGAGGGAGAGGTTTCAGGGCGGAAAGCCACGGGCTGGATTGGGAGAACGGGTCTGTGCGGAGGTGGGTAGTTCTTGGGAGAGTTAGAGGCGCAAACAAGATAGCCACAGCGATCTGACACATCGTCAGCATCCTAGAGGAAAAAGAACAGGAGACAAACCGAACTCTCAGCGAAGTGTTTGGGCAGTGAGTGTCAGCTGTACTGGGCTCTGTAGCAGGTGCTTAATTAAATTCCTGTTAATCACACACCTCAGTCTAATCCAGTGATGTAGGTGATAGTGCTCTCATGTTGAATAGGAGGAGACAGGCCCAGAGGGATTCAATGACTGGTGCAAGGTCACACATTCTTAGTGAGAGCCAGGCTTTGACGCTAGAACCTATCTTATGTCTATTTTTCCAACCATCTCCATTTACTGAGAGAAAGTGCTTCCCAAAGGAAAGTAAGGCGGAGAAAGAATCGCCACCCCAGGTGTCTGAGCTCAGGAGCACTTCTGTCTGGCATGGCCTGGTTTGGGGAGTCATAGAACACTTCCAGTCTTGGACAGGGGTTGGTCAGTGAGGAGGAGCTTGGTGGACTCACTGTAGCTGTGGGATGCTGGTTTCTCTCCCAGTGACCTCCAGTATTGCCCACACCCCCTCTCTCAGGTCAGGGCCCCAGCAAGAAGGCAGCCAAGCACAAGGCAGCTGAGGTGGCCCTCAAACACCTCAAAGGGGGGAGCATGCTGGAGCCGGCCCTGGAGGACAGCAGGTGAGGGAGGAACAGCTGAGGCATCCTAGAGGCCCTGCCAGGAGCCCAGGCCCCTGCGTCAGCCCCTTTGCCCAGGAGGCCTGACCTGGTGACACTTAGCCACCTTGATCTTCTCTTCCTGAGCTTCCTCTGGACCTGAGCAGGGTGCTTCCTGGGGGAAATGGCCAGCTCCACGGAGGGATTGTGGCTGTGGTTTGGGGTTCTGGCTAAGGAGGGGGAGGGGTGGAGGCTGAGGCTGGAGGGCGTTGCCTTCTCCGTCTGGCAAAATACCCTTTCCTCTTCTGCACGGAGGTTGGAGCTTTTTTTTTTTTTTTTCCTCCCCTAGTTCTTGAGTAGAGAGACCCTCTTTCTCTTTTCCTCAGTCTTTTTGATCCAGTGTTTGGCAAGCAAAGGATCCCAGGAGGAAGAGCTGGTGGTTGAGCTTCCCTGAGTCTTTGGCTCAAATGGGAAGGCGTTTTCTTAGGGGATGGGCAGGTGAGGAGGACCTGGGTCCCCCACCCTTTCACTGTCCCCGCTCCACAAGGGTGTGAATCAGAGGCTCCTTCCCCTCGGGAAGTTCTTTTTCTCCCTTAGACTCTTCACTGCCTGAGGACGGTCCGGTTTTTGCTGCTGCAGCGGCTGCTACGCCTGTTCCATCTGCTGCCCCAACCAGGTACCTGTGTCTTCTGACTGCCGGGTGGGCGGGGGAAGGAGGGGAGGAATGGGTCCTGGCTCCTGGCCCCCAGCCCTTGACCCAGGCTGGTCAGGCATGAGGAAGTCTGAGAGTAAACAGAGGCTGGAGTAGTTGGGGACCAGAGTTTGAAGAATTTGCATCAGCTGGTAAGCTTTTGGGACAAGTAACCAATTATTTTTAAACAGCCATGTGGATGATGTTTGACCCATGTTAAGGGTCTTGCAGGTCCCATTTTCTTCTGAGTTAGTCCCATGATGGTCCTGTGTTTGAGTCCCATCCGGTTCTCCCAGGAACTGGATATACAGCCCCTCTCCACTGTCCAGGCGGGGTGATGGTCACATGTTCCAGAAAATTGAAATGGGTCTGGGACCTGGAGGAGACTCACTTGCAGGGGAGGGGGGAGGAAGGAGGCTGGGAGTTTGGAATGGGGGAAACCAAAGCGAGGCTTAGGACGCCTGGGCAGCAGCAGACAGAACTAGCCCCCTCAGCTCTGGCTCTGGCCCTTTTTCCTTCAGGAGCCCCCCCATGGAGGTGCAGCCCCCTGTCTCCCCTCAGCAGTCTGAGTGCAACCCTGTTGGTGCTCTGCAGGTGTGCCCCCTCATTTCCTGTGCATGCCTGTCCTTCCTTAAACCAGGGGCCCTGAGGGAAGGTTATGGGGGTCGTTTTTCACCCCATTTGTTCCTCCTCTGGTCTGGAATCTGAGGCTCCTGGGAAGGAGGGAAGGATGTTTGGACTCTTCTCACTCAGCCTGTCCACCCTTCTCCCTTCCCAGGAGCTGGTGGTGCAGAAGGGCTGGCGGCTGCCTGAGTACACAGTGACTCAGGAGTCTGGGCCAGCCCACCGCAAAGAGTTCACCATGACCTGCAGAGTGGAGCGCTTCATTGAGATTGGTAACTGGGCAGGAGGGAGTTCTTGCAGTTACTGTCCCCCAACACTCCAGTCCTGGCCACAGGCAGCACCTAGCTTCGCTGCGACAGCCCCCCACTTTTGGCTGAGACCCCCAGCGTGGCTCCTGCCTCTTAGCTTCTTCCTTACGCCCTGTCTTCCCCCTTCTGGCCAACCAGATTCTCAGGTGCATGGCAGGTCCTGAGCTCCCGTTTCTAATCCATCTCTCTTAAGGGGACCCGCAACCCAGATTGGAGCCTGGTGGGAAGCACTGAGTCTGTTGGGAGTTATGATCCAGTAACCCTCTCCCCACGTGCAGGCAGCGGCACTTCCAAAAAGCTGGCCAAACGGAACGCGGCCGCCAAAATGCTGCTTCGAGTGCACACGGTGCCTCTGGATGCCCGGGATGGGAACGAGGCCGAGCCTGACGACGACCACTTCTCCATTGTGAGTGGCTTGTGGGCCAGGCCAGGCCCTGGGGACTCAGTCTGTGGCTCGGGAGTGAGCCTTTCTGGGTCCCAGGCCTGCTTCTGTCCCTTTTCCTATCGGAGTCAGGATTCTTGAGTTCTCGTTCAGCTTCAGCTGTAGGCCCCCTGGTGAGGGTGTGGGGGAGCTGGTGAGGCCAGGGGCCTGGGGCTTTTTCCCCCGTGGTGAGGAAGGCAGCGTGGCCATCCAGTCCGGGTCTGCTAAGGATAGGAATAGGGGGTCATACGGGAATGGGCTTGAGGGGGGCAGGCTGGAGGCACCTTCTTCGGGCTATTCTCTCCTGGGACATCATGTGTCTCTCCAATGCCAGGGCCTCCCAGCCCAATGCCACATCTGTCTCACTCTCTTCATCTCGTCAGGGTGTGGGCTCCCGCCTGGACGGACTTCGGAGCCGGGGCCCGGGCTGCACCTGGGATTCTCTGCGGAGCTCGATGGGAGAGAAGATCCTGTCGCTCCGCAGCTGCTCCCTGGGCTCCTTGGGGGCCCTGGGCCCTGCCTGCTGCGGCGTCCTCAGCGAGCTGTCTGAGGAGCAGGCCTTCCATGTCAGCTACCTGGATATTGGTATGGCTGGTTGGGGGGCCGGGGATGGTGGGGTCTGGACCAGAGCAAGTACACATGGGTATAAGGAGTGGGGAGAGGGCATGATGGCGGCATGGATCCCGCCCCCCACCCCTGACCCCCGGTGCTTCCTCACCACCCAACACTGCCTCCTCCTCTCTCTCGTCTCCAGAGGAGCTGAGCCTGAGTGGGCTCTGCCAGTGCCTGGTGGAGCTGTCCACACAGCCGATCACTGTGTGTCACGGCTCTGCAGCCACCAGGGAGGCAGCGCGTGGCGAGGCGGCTCGCCGCGCCCTACAGTACCTCAAGCTCATGGCGGGCAGCAAGTGAAGCTGCGGCGGACTCATGGACATGCTCCTGCTCTTCCTGCGCTCGGCCCAGGCATCGGCCCAGCGCAGGCACCCTCAGGAGGTGCCATCTCTACCTCTGACACAGACTGCCCCCTGCAGGCCGAGGAGGGCATGGGCCCAGGAGCCGGGGACCACAGTGCCTCAGTGGCCCAGGATCCGTCCTGTTACTGGTGATGGAGGGCAATGAAATCGGACTGTCCCCCAGAGCCCAGAATAAACGTGCTGCTCCTCAGAACCTCAAACACTCATCTTTCTGTTTCCCTGAGCAGTTGATGGCAGAGAGTTTCGTGCCCGATCACCTCCCCTCTGTGCCTCCCCACCTTGTTCTGCACTGTCCCTGCTGGTGGCAGGAGGCTGGGTGCAGTGACTTCTGGGAACCCCATCACCTGTGTCTCTGGAGAGTTTGGTGGAGATGGAGGGACTTGTTCTTGCCATGGGCTCCCTCCCAGCCCCATCAAGTCTTAGACACAGACACCTGATTCAGAAGCCAGGCAGCTTTATTGGGGGGGGAGGGCAGGGGAGGAGGACACATGGGTGCCTTGCATGCAGATGGATCAAGGGGTGACATGTCACTTCTTCCCAAAGCGCTGAGGGGCAGCCAGACTCCAGAACGGGGAGCTCAGCCCCTCCCCAGCTTGGATACTCAGCCGTTCGTTGCTCCTGGAGCCCTGGGCATTTCTGCCAAACCTTAGGAGAGATCCGTCTTCAGCTGTAGGTCCTTCCAGTCCCCCTTTTCTAGTCCCCGCCCTCTCTCCTCCCCTGGCCCGCCTTGCCTGTGCCCCTCTCAGACTCACCTTTGGGGCTGAAATGGGAAGGCTGGGCCCCGGCTGGGTCTCTGCATGGCCTGGAGCAGGGAGAGGAAGAGTGACGCAGGAGCCTGGGCATCCTGTGGTGTGCGGGGTCCGGCGTCTTCCTCCTGCAGCACAGGGACATCCAGCAGGGAGACGGGCAAAGACTGGACATTCAGGTCAGTAGGGGAAGGATGAGGCTTCGAAGACCCTAGCCACAAGTGCTTGAACCTAGAGCACAAGCCCCATGCTGAGGTAGAGAGAGAAAGTGATGTGGGGAGGGGCGCTCACTTACCAGGAAGATCTGATCTCCACCCTGGCCCCCTGGTCCTTCAGCGTGGCCCCAGCCTGTTAGTAGCAGCAGCACCACCAGCAGCACCGCCGCCTGCCTGGAATCCATGCTGTCATCTGCCTTCCTCTGGCCACATCTGCCTCTTATACCTGCTGTCCCCCTGCCCGCCACCCCCACCGCAGCTGGAGGGGGAATCTGGAGCAGGCAGTGGAAATGCACGACTCCATTAAGAGCCCCTGGGATCCCCGCCCATGGCCCCTCCGGGACTTGCTGCTCTCAGCCTCCGGCCCTAGCCCCTAAGCCTGGAATTACAGACTTTATTAGATGCATAAATCCTGTCTCCAGAGCTCGAGAAGCATCATTAATTGTACATGTTTTGTCAGCGCCAGGCCCTGGGGGGCATTTAAGAACCCCCAATCCCTCAACAGGTTGGAGAGCTCCAATTGATCACCACCTCCTCCTCTCCTAACTTGTAGAATGAAAGCATAAAGAAACCCCTGTCAGGAAGGGCTAGGTATTGTGTCCTGGAACAGAGGGAGTGGGGAGAAGAGTTAGGGTCACAGCTGCCCGGGATGTCCTATCCGGGCTTCCTCCCCTAACGGCTGCAGCCAGGGTCACCCAGCCCATGCACACTCCTGCGTGTGTGCCTTTTAGAGCCACTGCTCTGAGAAGTGCCTGTGGATAGAAAAGTGAGATGCAGGAGGGAACAAAATGAAAGTGGGGGGCTCACAGAATGCTTTAAATCTTTGTAGACGGGCCCCATCTTCACTAGAGGGCAATTGTTTGCTTAGGACCTGCCTCACCTGCGGCCGTCCTCGCAGCTGAGGCACTGCTGCCACCCTGTGGCCACAGCCCCACACTGTCAGTTCCAGCCATTTCCTTTTCTGACTAGAGCTCTTTGAAGGATCAGGTGCATGGAGGTGCCTAGGGCCCTGATTCTATGGAGTTCCAGAAAGGCAGGGGCAGGAATACAGGAGTTGGACTATGATTTTGTCCATCTCACTCTTAGTCACCCTGCTTCTGCCCGGCTCTGACCTACTGGGGTGCATGATTAGAATCCAGCCTTGGGAAATACCTGCTTCTCAGGAAGGGGTCCTTCAAGTCACCTGGTGCCCTTTCCCTTCTGATCCCAGGATCCCGCTCCCCACCCCCGTCAGTAGTTCTGTAGCCATCCTGAAGAGGTGCCACGATGGAAAGAGCTGTGACTGGCCTTGGCAAGCTGTCTACCTGTATCTGCAGTTTCTTCACCCAGAACATGGCAACATGAAAAAATGACTTCCTAGGATGAGCATTACTTGGCCATCCGTCCAGCACAGGATCTGACACAGAGCAAGCGTCCTCAGAATGTTAGCTGTGAGGAGCCCTGGGAACTTACCATCTCCTGAGTCTTCGCAGATTTATCCTTGCACTGAGCTGGTTTCCGTCTCCTTGTGGTCTCCAAGGAGGTGGTCTTAGTTTGCCTCTTAAGTCTCACAGAACATCTCTCCATTTTTTCATGTATGCAAGCCTTTAACAGGTTTGAAGACATTTAATTCTTCTACCCTGTAGTCTTTTTTTGTTCAAAGGACGCATTTCTCTTTAAAGTTAGGCTTTTGTAAAGCAAACTCTACTGTGGGCAGGTAGATTAGAGCAGGTTTTGATCTGGATGCCCCAGATACTACATTTCTGTTAATGCAGCCTAAGCGAGGGGGCCTTTCTGTGAGTTTGTCTCACGCTGGTCCCCAGCACAGAACCTGGCATTCACCACTGCATCTTGCAGTTCCACCTCTTTTTAAAGGGGAGAATTAAGACACAGGTAGATGGTTCTTCTGTGGGAAATGGATCTGGCCCCACAGAAGTCCAGAAGAACGAGGGTGGATGGAGCATTGCGAAGAGCAGCTCTGGGGTCTGACAGAATTCAATTTTAATCCCAGCTCTTGGCACTGCACTGTGTGCCTTGGAGAAGTGTCTTAACCTTAACCTCACTTCATCATCGATAAAATGAGGCAACTAGTGCTATTTTCAAGAGATGGCTATGAACAGGCAGTGACGCGAAGCATCTAGCTTTCCATGAGCACAGGCACTCAGCGTTTTTCACCCTGCGGCTTCCCCTCTACTAGACTCTGATCACCAGGCATAACACTATCTGAGCTGAGGCTACAACAATGAGCTGAGCTAGCTGGCTTCCTAGGTTCAGGATGGAGGTGACTGGTCTCTGGGTAGTGGTTGGAATGGGTTAATTCTGCTATCATGGGAAACTGCCCTGCCTTCAGCCTCATCCCAAACCTCCCAATCCTCTTCATCTTGGCTTTAGGATCTGGCTTTCAGCAACTTGCTTTCCGACCCTCCTGGGCCCTCCGTGTGTTCCTGACACAACACAATGAAGACCACGGTTGCCTTTTCTACTCCTGAGGAGACTCAGTCTCCCTGTTTGTGTCAATGAAACCCAACACCAGCCACAAACAGTTTCTTAGGTCATTTCTCTCCCATTGAGGGACCCAGAGACACCTGCCAGAACTGGTCGAGTTCTACACCGGCTCCCTCTCTGCGCTTGTGAGTCACTCAGGAACACACGGATGCAATCAGTAGTGACGGCCCTACACCTCCTCACTCTGTATGGTCCGTAGGCATCACCTCTTCTTCTTTCTTTTTCTTAATATGTTTTTACTGATTTTAGAGAGAGGAGAGAAAGAGAGGGAATGTTGATCAGCTGCCTCCTGCACCCCCATCAATGGAGATCGAGACCACAACCCACAGCCCGGGCATGTGCCCTGATCAGGAATTGAATTGGCAACCTCTTAGTGCATGAGACGATACTCAACCAACTGAGCCACACTGGCCAGTGCTACCTGTTGTTGTTTTTTGAGAACTCTCTTACCTGCTACCTAACCAATGCCCGCCCCCCAATGCCCATAGCATTTATCCTATCATAGAAAGGTTCTCTTTTGATCTCTGTGCATTCCCTCATCATGTTGGACACTTCTTGAAGATAGGGCTTATTTTTGTTGTTTTAAAAAAATTGCTGGGAGCGGGTGGGTACAACACTGAAAGGTGAGAGGACACTTGCTTTCAAACACCATCCCATCCCCCATCCAAATAAAGCACACACCTCCTCCAGTGAGTGCTCCCATGATGCTCAGGGCCCTTGTCCCCAGGGCAGTGCACAGATCTGAGCCCTGCCTTCGGTTGTGTAATGTATTTATTTAAGACACCGCCTTGTCTAGACTGTGTCTTCACTGCAGAAAAAGGAAGGGTAAGAATCCCGGCTCCTCCTGTTTTAGGAAATGGGGAGGTGAGGAAGATCACAGACGTGAAGCCCAACGAGTCCCCAGGAAGAGTGACAGTGGGACTTGTAGATCAGAGGATCGAAACATCAGACATAACAGTGGTTCTCTCGAGAGTTTAATGTTATATTTGCAGCATAAATAAGGCACAATATATGTCAGGGCAAGGGAGAGGGGGAAGGCCGCCTGGGGGTAACTGCTGAGTGGCAAGGGAGAGAAGAAGGGACGGCGAGGGAGGACGGAGCGAAGCCTCTGCCTCGGCCCGTCGCGGGGGTTGTGAGCCTGCTCACAGGGGTCATGCTGAATGGGATGGAGAGGGGAGGGAGACCATGGTTTTGTAACAAAATAGCCTGTAGCACTGCATGCTCCCACCTGTCAAAGCCCACCACTGGGGAGACTCAGACCCCCAGTAGAGTTCCTTGATGAGATGGAGAGGTTTTGCTACGTGTCAAAGATATACAGATGAGCAGAGATATAACCATAGATACACACTGCTTTCTTTTCAACAGATACTACATCAAGAGGTGGCAGCCTCTGCTGCGGGGCTGGAGGCTCATCTCCCTGCCTGAAGGTGTGTGTGTGTGTGTGTGTGTGTGTGTGTGTCTGTGTGTGTGTGCTGAACAGCTAAACTCCAGCTGGTCCTTCCTGTAACAAAGAGTGTGGAGTGACCAGTCTGCAAGGGAATATGCGACACATCTGCCCAGCCGATGCAGGACAGGTTTTAGGGCTAAGTAGGACGAAGATAAACCTAGATTTCGAGATGAATGATGTGGTGGTTGTTTTAATGGGGGTGGAGAGAGGTTGGAGGAAATGGAAAAACGCATGTGTTAGTGCTAAGGCAGAGGATGGTACTCAAATCGTCTGGATACCCTGCAAGAACTTCCCAGCTGCTCTGAGGGCGGTGGTTCTCAAACCTTAGTGTGATAAGAACCACTCGGAGTGCTTGTTGGAGCCCATCCCCAGGGTTTCTGATTCAACAGGTCAGGGGTGGGGCCCAAACGTGCATTTCTCACAAGTTCCCAGACACGGTGCTGCTGGTCCTGGGCCATGTTCTGAGAACCATCGCCCTAAGGAAAAGCCAATGCAACTAATGCTCAGAGCCGCTTCTTACAGCTAAAACCGCACTCACCAGTAGCAGCTAATGCCGTAAGATATCTTTGTGCACCAGCCCCCATTAACAACAAACCCTACCACACAGCACAAGCCTGCCTCTACGAAGGGCACAAGCTGCCTTACCCTCCCCTACTCTCCCCAGCCTTTCCTCATTCTTTCCCCAAAAAGAGATGAAAGAAGTGGTACAAAGGGTGGGAATGGTGGCCAGCAGCCACCTCTGCTCATTCCAGCTGGGTCAGCACCCTGGGAGGGGGTTTGTGTCTGTGTGCACGTGTGTGTTGTAAACAGAAACAAACAGTTTTGTACTCTGAGGGGACATGAGGGTGTGGGAGATTGAGGATCCTCACTTGTCTCAGTCCTCCCTCCGCCCCGGTCAAACAGAAGTCTAAAGAAAGCACAAAGAGCACATCAACAAAGGCATATGTGATACAGCTAGGACTGGATGCTAAACAGACTGGTTATGAAATAAAAAACAATACTTTTCTTTCCTGTGTATACAATGTACAATATTAATGGAAATTAATGACGTGGGGATGGAAAGGAAGTTCTGAAAGGAAGGGAGAACTTTTGGGGGTGGGGGAGCGGTCTCAGGGTAGCACCTTTAATGGAGCCTCTCAGGTGGGACGCGGGCCTCAGAAGCCGGAGGAGAACGTGTCTGCTCTGTGGGCAGGCTGTGAACAGGTCTGGCTATGACTAAGCACCCCGGCTCTGAGTGGTGCCCAGGGCAGGGAATCGGGAAAGGGGCCAAGAACCGCACGGCAGGCATAGGAAGGCGTCAGGTGAAGTTCAGTTAGGTCACCTCCACCGAGAGTTCATGGTCTGGTCTTAGGGCCAAGAAGAGGAGAAGCAGCTGAAGGAAGCCAGATGTGGGGCACACAACCAACAGGCACAGAGTGAGGGAATAAGCTCCTCCTCTTTCTGTCTCCGAGCTATGGGGAAGCTTCTCAGCTTTTCAGCTCTAAGCACGCCTTCCAGGAAATGGGCAGACTGCACACCAGACCTGGTTCTGGCCCCTGTCTCTAGGTCAGGGGCGGGGAACCTTGTTGCTGCCAAAGGCCATTTGGATATTTATAACATTATTCAAAGGTCATACAAAATTATTAACTTAAAAATTAGCCGTCTGTATTTGGTTAAACATTTAATTAACTCACCCCAATACCTTGCCAAGGCCAGACCAAATGATTCCACGGGCCTTACACGGCCTGCGTGCCAGAGGTTCCCCACCCCTGCTTTATGGCTTACATGTCTAGCAGCTGTGTCTTGGAGTGAAGTGAGAGGCCGAGTCCTGTGCTCAGTTGGAAGAGTCCTAGGGTCCACACCCCAACCCCTTCAGAAGTGTCTTCCCCGGGCTCCCTGGCAGCTTAACGAAGGGCTAAATGACACCCTCCCTGGTGTTTGGTTCTGGTGCAGATGAGTCTGGAAGGCAAAGAGCACGGGAGAGCAGCCACGGGAGGCAGCGAGGACCAGGTCATGACATTCCCCTTGGTATAAGAGAGGCTCATGGTAAGCAATTGTCTGTTTGTAGTGAGACCGAGGACCAACTGAAGATTGGTCTGCAGGCTCATCCTGCCCCTTCCTCAAGTCACTGCTGCTTTCTTACTGAGGTTCTGTCAATGCCCCTCACTCAGGTCCCCAGTGCGAACACCCCACTGATGAAAACGAGAGTTAGACGTGGGGTTAAGAAATGAACTGAGACCCTTTACGTAAACGAGCCGTCCTACTCAGGGGCAGATGGGCAGAGCAGCATCCTCCAGCGCCCAGCAGCGAGGCAAGGCCTGTGTGAGATTCTTCACTTGAAACACACTTGACTGAAGGCGGAAGAAAATAGTGAAGGGTCTTATGAAGGCTCCTTAGGAGCCATAAACTCAGTCAAGCTTAAGGGCGAGGCTGATGGTGGGAAATCAATAGAATAAAAAACTGAAACAAAACTAAAGCAGAAGAGCCCGGGAGCAGCGTCTGTGAGCCCTGAGCACGAATTATGGCTGTGAATTTCACGGGCAAGTGGAGTCCCTGGAGGCGGAAACCTGCAGCCTGACCATCTGCCTTGCCATTTGCTAATCTGAGTCACCTCAGGGGCTGTTCCTGTTGGGTCCCGGGTGGCAGAGGATGAGAAAACCACGTTTCTCTCCTTTCTCTTCACCAGGTGTGGCTTGTTCAGCACCAGCTCTGCAAGGGGAAATTAAAAACAATGCAGTGGAACATGTCACCTGACTGGCTCGCAAGTTTATCACTCTGAGGAGACTGCAATCTTGTAGCTGAGAACATTTCCTCCTTCCCCTGGGCCAGCCAATTTTGGAAGACAAAACAACAAAGGAAGCTGGACGTTACCTGCTTGTATGTTTAAGACGGAGGTAGAGAGATGGAGAAAAGGACATTCTTGGCTTTGGCAGATGGCAGGTGGCGGCGCTGGGACAATTGGAAGGGTTTCAGACTGAAGAGCCACTAAAGCTGACATACCTATCCACAGGCCCCTGGCTTTGGATTGCTTCCAATGGCCCTGGTAGAAATTGCATAGTTCAGAGCCAAAGAAAGATGAGAAGTCTTCATGGGGAAGAGAGAGAGACCAGAGGGAAGAATTTCTTCCTCTGTAACCCTACTCTTCAGAGTAAGAATGGCTGAGAGCAATAGTCACCCATCTCCCAGGCAGGCTAGACCTTTCAACAAGCAGGGCTCTTCTGCTGAGCTCAGAACTGCACCTCCCCCCTTTCCTCCCCCTGTTCCCCCCATCCAACCTTGTACTCAGAAAACCCTCACGGGGCCCTGGCTGTGAGGCCTGAGTCTTGGGGGTTGGCCTATGGAGAAGCACCGCATCGAGGGCAAAAAGCAGAAAAGAGCTGAAGAGAGGCCTAGTGGCCAGGCTACGAGCCTGCTGAGAGGAAGAAGGGAGATCCAGAGGGGGTGGGGCACGTGGGAATACAAGACCCTAGCTCAGGGAAGGCAGATGAGTGAGGCTGAGAAGGGGAAAGTGAGGGACAGCCTCCCGGGCTGCATCTGAACCAGCCGTGGAGAGAGGCATTCATGTGGCCAGGAGAACCAAGAGGGAGAGGCAGAAGCGGAAAGCTGACCAAAAGGAATATGCATGCTTTGGTCAGTCAACTCCTATACAACAAAGAGTCACTCCATTAACCTGATGGAACAAGCTTTCCTGCCTGACCTGATGATTAGGCTGAAGAAGGAGTGAGTAGGGAGGGGAGGAGTCAGCCAGTCAGATCCTGGGCTCTTCCCCTTTCCCTGCCAAGCCCTAGCTGATAAGGCCACCAGGTGATTGCAAGGCTTGGTGGGAAGTGGAAAAGACCCCACCACTAGACTGGGAAAACTCAAGAGGCAAAACGTGTTATCCAAATAGCCCTGCAAACAGATTAAAAAGGACTGGAACTCTTGGGGTTTTGTTTCTTTCTTTTTCCTTTTTTTTGTTTTTTGTTTTTTTGTTTTTGTTTGTTTTGGTAGAAAATAGGGAGAAGGAGTAAAGTTTATGGAAGAACTGGAAAAAATATTGCTACTTCATACATCAAAGGTAACTTTACAATCTCCCTAAGTGAATATTTTGACTAGAATTTTGGATGGGTGAAAAGGGATAGAAGCAGCTTCTGGGACACAATGTCCGGAGTCCATGAGGGGGCTGGAGATGGGTCAGCAGTTGATTCTCCATCAATTCTGGCTCTCTCTACCTAGCAGGTAGTGACATGCTGCTAAGGAACAAGAAGGTAACAGTTATGGCTTATTGGGAAGAGAGGCAATTGGGAAACCAGAAACCTACAAGTGCAAGGGTTAGTGTTAAAAGAGAGAAGTACGGGTGCATGGGCGAGGGTGGCTGACTGTTCAGACCATGTGGAAGGGCCTCTGGCTGTGAGGACTTCAGAAACCCCCCCTTCGGGGATGATCTATGTGGCTCTGGGGCTGGGAGGCTCCTAGTACAGGTGTCAACGTACACGACCATGTGGCTGAAGAGAAAAGCCCCACATCTGTCCTTTACTCACAACACACAGTTCCCCCCATACTGCCATGTCCAAGGCAGATGGGAGGGGATAAGATGACATCTCTCTTGGCTCTCGAATGGGCGAGCTCTGGCTGGGGACCTCTCCACCAGGGGAGGCATCATCTGCCCGCAGACTGGGACTGTGGAGTCATAATCACATGCGACTGTATGGGCATGCTCAGTTCTGTCCTTTGGCTGGCCATCTGAGTGAGGACTGAGGTGGCCACCGCTTCAGCCGCAGAGCGAACACTGAGGCCATTGCTGGGTGCTGTTGCTGAACTGTGCTGAATCACGGGGGCTGGAGAACCCGTTGGCTCCGAGCTTTCCTTGGGGCTTTCTGCCAGGAAAGGAGGGCAAACAGCAGAGAGCAAATGGTTAGAAAACAACATGGGAAAACAGGCGGAACTACCTTTTGCCGCAATTCTAAAGCAGACCGAAGGAAAAGGAAGCCTATCTTTTTTTTGATGGGGGAGAAACTTCCGAGATTTTGGCTTCTAAGCTATGAATGAGCTAGGAAGCAGTAAACCATGAGAAGGGAAACAAAAACTAAACAAATTAACCTACCTATCCAATAAAGCAAATCCCCAACATGCTAATTACACTGTCTGGCTTCTAGGTCTTTGTATGCAGTTCATTACCCTACTGGAACAGTCTTCTTAGTCGTGTTTTAAAGGTGATTTTTGTTGTTGTTAATTTTCATCCGAGGATACTTTTTCCATTTATTTTTTAAGAGAGAGTGGGAGGGAGAGTGAAACATTGATATGAGAGAGACACATTAATTAGTTGCCTCCTGCACACACCTGGACCAGCTACGTGCCCTTGACCAAGAACTGAAGCTGTGATGCTTCGTGCATGGGTCAATGCTCTTACCATTGAACACCCCAACCAGGACCACAGGTGATTTGAAATAGCTTTATTTTTAGCTATCTTTTCTGATTAATTGCCACAGGAACTGAATCATTCCATTCTTTTTTCTTTTTTCTTTTCTTTTTAAAAAATATATTTTATTGATTTTTTACAGAGGAAGAGAGAGGGATAGAGAGTTAGAAACATCGATGAGAGAGAATCATCGATCAGCTGCCTCTTGCACACCCCCTACTGGGGATGTGACCACAACCAAGGTACATGCCCTAGACCGGAATCGAACCCGGGACCTTTCAGTCCGCAGTCCGATGCTCTATCCATTGAGCCAAACCGGTTTCGGCTCCATTCTTTTTTCTATTCCTTTAGAATGTCATTACTCCATAGGTAAGCCTAATAAACATCAAGCTACAATCAAATAATGTCATAAATAATTAGTCCTTGGCCAAGGTTCACTTAACACAATAAACCCCAAAGAGTTTACCTTCCAAGCTATTACTTAGCTAGGTATTACTGATTTAAAATATTTGATGAGTTTTGCCACTCCACCTAACGTGACAGTAACATTTCACTAAACACAAATATCTGAACTGCATACTGATAGTTCCATGTTGCTCATCAGTCAAGGAGTTTTCTTAAATGGCTGACAGCCTTGATGAGCTGCTTAGAGAGAGAGATGTTGGGATGAGGGGAAACTTCCAATAGTTAGCTGTAAATATATATATATATATATATATATATATATATTTATTTATTTATTATTATTATTATTAGCTGTATTTTTGACCTGAAGAATGCCTGAGTCTTCTTTTAGAATCTGTGAAGCCTTCTTTGTTCCACTCAGGAAATTAATTATTTCACTGCTTGTGCTTTCAGAGCACACATTCACTTATTCATCACATATTTAATGAGCATTGTCCATGTGCCGGACACTGAGGTATATAAAGAATAAAACGGTATCCCTGTCTTTAGGAAGCTCCCAATCTAAGGGCTTTCTTTCTTTTTTTCTTTAAAAAAATATATTTTATTGATTTTCCCCCCATAGCATCGGTTTTTATTACTAAGCCAAACATTCCACCTTTATAGTGAATAATGCAACCTGCAGAAGACTCTGTGTATTGATTTTTTTTTTTTTTTTAACAGAGAGGAAGGGAGAGGAATAGAGAGTTAGAAACATCGATGAGAGAGAAACAAACAGCTGCCTCCTGCACACCTCCTATGGGGCATGTGCCTGCAACCAAGGTGCATGCCCTTGACCGGAATCGAACCTGGGACCTTTCAGTCCACAGGCCGACGCTCTATCCACTGAGCCAAACCTGATAGGGCTAAGAGCTTTCTTAACAGGGATATTTGTGTTTACCCTACTAACAGGTTGACATGTTTATCTCCTCATAGCCCCAAGTCTCTCAGAGGTAGAGACAGCATTTCGTTTGTATTGTGTTAAATACCTACTATAATGTCTACATCACACAGCAGGAACTACATACGTTTTTGCTGTAACAAATAAGGAGTTTAATGGAATGACTACATGTCAGAGTTCTTATAGGGGTTGAGTAGAACACTTACTGTATATAGTTTTCATACCAATACTCAACTCTTGTCTTCCTTTCTGCCAAGGGCCATCTGGATATTTATAAATAATTCAAGAGCCATAGAAAATTATCAACTTAAAAATCAGTCTGCTATCTGTGTTAGTTTGGGGTGGGGTGTTTCATTAAACCTTGTGGATTTTTACTTTGGATCTCAAATGTTATACTGCAGGCCACAGGCATGACAGGCCATGAGCAGGTGAGGAAATAATGGAAAAGTGTTCAAAACTCCTTTGTCGCTTAATGAGCTTCTGAATGTATCACTGTTGTCCACAGAGAAGGCTGGAGAAGGGAGCAAAGAGATGCTGTATCAGCTACTGCAGCCTTAAAACAAAGTTGGTGTCTCTGTGGATTTTAAAATTGTTCATATGCAGCTTATTTTATTTTTGTTTAATCAAATAAGCAAGAGGGCTTTTTTCCCATGAGGTGGGGGACATTAGTCTTCTGCCCTCGCTGGTTTGGCTCAGTAAGTAGAGTGTTGGCCTGTGGAATGAAGGATCCCAGGTTCGAGTCAGGTCAAAGGCATGTACTTTGGTTGCAGGATCCCTGGCCCTGGTTGGGGTGCATGGAGGCGGCAATCAATTGACGTGTCTCTCACATTGATGTTTCTCTCTTTCTGTCTCTCCCTCCCCTTCATCTCTCTTAAGAATCAATGTAAAATATTCTCGGGTGAGGATTAACAACAACAATAACAAAAAAATTAGTCTGCTATTGTTGGTCCCAAACATTTCATTAACTCATCCATAATGCCTTGGCAGGGCCAAACCAAATGATTTTGTGGGCCCTATAGGGCCTGTGGGCCGGACATTCCCCACTCTTGCTTTAGCTCATGAAAAGTTCCTGAAACGGTTGATCATACATTGTAAAACACTTAACCTTGGTTAACAGACCACCACACTCAGCCACTCAGCTGGTTTTCCTCCTACCTTATAGGCTGCTCATCTAAGTCACTTTTGTGCGTTTCTTCTCATCTCTCTGACCTCTTCAAATATTGTAGTATCCCAGGGCTGAGCCCTGGGAATTCTCTTTTTCTACCTATGGGCTCTCCCTTGACAATAATATTTCATCCAGTTTTATGGCATTAAAAACTAGCCTGGTTATGATGGCTCCGTGGTTGAGCATCGACCTATGAATCAGGAGGTTACGGTTTGATTCCTGGTCAGGTTACATGCCCAGGTGGCAGTCTTGATCCCCAATCATGCAGGAGACAGCCAATCAATGATTCTATCGCATCATTGATGTTTCCATTTCTCTCCCTCTCTCTCTAAAATCAATAAAAATGTATTTATAAAAACCTAACTATATGCTGCTGATTCCCATCATCATATCTTGCAGACTTTCCTCTGAACTGCAGACCCATGTAACCAGCTGTCTGTTTGACTCCACCTTCAAAACAAATAGCCTTCTGCCCAGCTGTGTGGCTTAGTTGGTTGAGCCTCATCCCATGTCCCAAGGAGGTGGTGGTTCGATTCCCAGTCAGAGCACATGCCCATGTTGTAGGTTTGATCAGGGTGTGTGCAGGAGGCAACCAATCAATCTCTCTCTCGAACACTGATGTTTCTCTCTCTCTCTCTCTCTCTCTCTCTCTCTCTCTCTCTCCTTTTCTCTTCTTCCTTCCCTCCCTACTTTCCATTTTCTCTAAAAATAAATGAATAAGTAAATAAATGGAAAAAGTATCCTTGGTGAATATTAACAAAAACAAACAAACAAACAAACAAAAAGACTGACAGGCTTCTTAAACTCAGCTTGTCCAAAAATGAGCTCCAAATATACCTCCCATTTAATTTCCTCCTATACTTTCCCTATTTCAATTAATGGCAAATACATTCTTGCAGTTGCTTGGGCCAAAAACTTTGGTGTAACTTTTATTCTTCTTGTTCTCATATATACTGTTACATTTGGCCCCATCATCAAACCCTGTCACTCTAACTTTAAAATATCCTGAATTCAACTCCTTCTCACCACTTTCACTTCCACCATCTTGGTCCAAGTTTCCAACAACTCTTGTGCAAATTGAAGTTTCCTGTCCAAATGTAAGTCAGATCAGTCATGTCACAGCTCTGCTGAAAACCCTCTGATGGTCCTCAGTGTAGGGTAAAAGCTGAAGTCCTCACTAAGTCTTACAAGGCCCCCCATAAAGATGCTCCCTTTACCTTCCCTATCTCATCTCCAACTAGTCTCCAGGCCCATTCCCTCTAACCCAGCCACGCAGCCTCCTTGATGGTCCTAGAATGTGCCAGGCACGCCCCACTTTGGATCTTTGCCTTCGCTCTTCTTCCTGCAGTACTTTCCCCACATAAGTGCATGGCCAGCTCCCTCACTTCCTTAAGGTCTTTATTCAAAAGCTACCTCAAAAAAACAAGAACAAAAAACAAAAACATGAAACAAACAAAAAAAACCCCTAAAAGCCACCTCATCTAAAATTTCAACCTTGCTGTCAACACTGCATATTTCTCTTCATGTTTTATTTTTTTCTTCCAAGCATTTACTATTTAAAATTAAAAAACAATACATTTTTATTGATTTCAGAGAGAGGAAAGGAGAGGGAGAGATAGAAACATCAATGAGGAGAACCAAGATGGCGGCATAGATAAACATAGCCTCTCACAACCACATCAAAATTATAACCAAAAAGCAGAACAACTACCACCCAGAACCAAGGGAAAGCTGGCTGAGTGGAAGTTCCACAACTAGAGAGGTGAAGAAAGCGCACTGAAACTGGTCAGAGGTGTGGAGGTGCGGAAAGTGCTGGCACCTGGATGTGCTGTTCTTTAATCAGGAGGGAGATACAAGCTCCCACTTGCTCTGAACTCCAGTTCCAGGCGAGACTCTGGGAGACCCAGACACATACGGGGAGAAACTGGACTGTCTGGCATTGGGACAGGAATATGAGGGTGGCTTATTCTCAGAGGGCTACAGCGATCGTTGTTCCTGCACAGGGCACAGAACGCTGAGACCCGGGGACCTCTCCAGGACAGGGATGTTTGCTCTGGAAGCCACTGCTGTTTGCTCCACCCTGGTGATTCTCAGAGACCCTGCTCCACCCAATTTACAACCCCACCCAAGCTGTTTGCATCAGCCTTTGAATATGAATGGCCTGTCCTTTTTCCACCTAAAATCTGTCCAACTCCAGCTGGGTCAGAGAGCCGGGGCTTCCAAAAGAAGGCCCAGGACCCACTGGCAGCAGCAGCCAGCCTTACTTCACAGCTGGGCCTCATCTGGATACTTCCAAATCCCGTATAAAGAAGAGGAATCTGGAAATGTCTCTATAGATCCTGCTAGGCGACCCCAGACAGTGGCTAACCTTGCACCTCCTTGGAGATCCAAGAGCCAGTGTACCCAGTGAACAGAGTGAGACCATACTGGATTACAACTCTTCACATCCATAAGAGACATACTCAGGGGGCAGGCTAAGTAAGCACCAAAGCCCCACTGAAGCAAGTCCTGCCCCATAAGGGTGTCTCCTGTGCAATACATCTTCCAGTGTAGACATAGCTGGTCATTACAGCCAATTGGCCTGGAGGTCAATTCCTCCCAGTGATATCAACAGCAGTCAAGGATTAACTACAACAAGACTGTGCACACAGCCCACCAAGGGGTGCGCCAAGAGCGTCCACCTCAGGTGACTGGGGAGGCTGAGCCGCTGGGCCACACAAGGCCACTCTCTCAGCTTAAGGAGACACAGCAGCTACCAAGTACATAGAACCAACACAGGAAAGCAGCCAAAATGCAGAGACAAAGAAACAAGTCACAAATAAAAAGAAATGTATGAAAGCAAAATACTGGATTTAGAGTTCAAAACCACAGTAATAAGGTTACTTAAGAATCTTCTAAAAACCTCTGAGAGGACCTAGAAAGATGGCTGCACAGGTAAACACCTAGCCGCAGCCGCACACAACAATTGCAATAAAATACAACTAAAATATAAAATGGACATTACCCAGAACTACAGGAAAATCGACTGACTGGAAATTCTACAACGAGAAGCAAGGAGAAAACCAGAAGGAAGCGCGGAGGAGCTGTAAAAGCCTAAGGTACGGAGACACGTGGCGCGCGCGGAGAGGACAGAGCTGGAGAGGAGGGAGGCTGAGTGCCTGGCTGGCGTTCCCTAGCGGGAAGGAGATAAAAGCTCCGACTGTTCTGGGCCCCAGTTCTGACTGCTCTGAACCCCAGTTCTAGGCCAGACCCTGGGGTCCCAGGCTCATCCATAGGGAGCTGGGCTGTAAGGCGGAACCCCGGGGGAGCGGAGAAAGGAGGTCCTGGCGGCGTGCACATTGCGCGCAGAGAAGGGACGGTTGGCTGTGCCACGGGATTGCCCTGGTAGGAAGGAGACAGGGGCTCCAGACTGCTCTGAATGCCACCTCCAATCCCACTACCAACTGAACTGAACCCCAGTTCCGAGCTCATTGGGGGAGAGCCTAGACTGTTTGGTAGCAGGCGAAAATCGAGGGCTCCTTTCTCTCAGAGGTGCTTGCAGTGAGTACTGAAGGACCCTGAGACCCAGGAGCCGCATAGGGCGGGGCTGACGGAAGCCAAGGCTTTAGGCTCCACCCTGAAACCCCGCCCCATCTGTAGCTGCGAAATGCGACAACGAAATAGATCACAAACGAAAGAAATGGAGGACAAAAAGCGACTGGATACAGAGTTCAAATCTATGCTTATAAGGTTTTTCAAGAATTTCCTAGAAAAGGTCAATAAGACTTATGAGGATATGAAAAGAGATCAACTAGAATTAATAAGGAATCAACAAGAAATGATAAGGGATCAACAAGAAATAAAGAATATATTGTCTGAAATAAAAAATATTATACAGTCCTAAAAACAGAATGGAAGATCGCAAGAATCAAGTCAAAGATTTGGAACATAAAGAGCCGGAAGACACTCCTCCGCAGAAGCTAGAAGGCAAGAGAATCCAGAAAATTGAAGATAATGTAAGAAACCTCTGGGACAACTTCAAGCGAACCAACATCAGAATTATGGGGGTCCCAGAAGATGAGAGAGAGCAAGATATCGAAAACATACTGAAAGAAATAGTGACAGAAAACTTCCCCCACCTGGGGAAAGAATTAGACTTACAAGTCCAGGAAGCGCACACAACTCCAAACAAAAGGAATCCAAAGAGGACCACACCAAGACAAATCATAATTAAAATTCCAAGAGCAAAAGACAAAGAGAGAATATTAAAAGCAGCAAGAGCAAAGAAGGTAGTTACTAATAAAGGAGTACCTATACGATTGTCAGCTGATTTCTCAACAGAAACCATGCAGGCTAGACGGGAATGGCAAGAAATATTCAAGGTGATGAATAGTAAGAACCTACAGCCAAAGATAATCTATCCAGCAAAGCTATCACTCAGAATCGAAGGTCAGATAAAGAGCTTCACTAATAAAAAAAAAAGCTAAAGGAGTTTATCAACACCAAACCAGAATTATATGAATTGCTGAAGGGGGTACTTTTGGAAGAGAAAGTAAATAAAGATAAAAATTATGAACAACAAATACGTAACTATCAATAAGTGAAGCTAAAAACCAAGGAAATTAAAAAAAAAAATCTGATGAACAATATTAACTGTTGAATATAACAGAATCAGAGGTATGGAAGGGGAGTGAACTGACGATTCTTGGGGAAAAGGGGAGAGGGGGATGTGGGAAGAGACTGAACATAAACTGTGCACCTATGGATGAGGACAATGGGAGTGGGGAAAGGGCAGAGGGTGGGGTGGGAACATTGAGGAGAGCAATAGTGGGGGGGGGGAAGGAACATTTGTAATAATATGAACAATAAAAATTTATTTTATTTTATTTATTTATTTATTTATTTATTTATTTTTTTAGCATTACATCATTTTTTATTTTGAAGGAATATTTAATATTAACATTGTGAGTTATTATTTTTTGCATATCAAAGTTACACATTTCAAACAAAACCTCTGAGAAATTTAGTGAGACCCTCAAGGATATGAAAAAGGACCAATTAGAAACTACGTGTACACTGACTAAAATAAATAATAATATACAGAGATCCAACAGCAGACTAGAGAATCCCAAAAATCAAGTAAAAGATTTGAATTACGAAGAAGCAAAAAACACCCAAGAAAGAAAGAAAAAAGAATCCAAAAATATGAAGACAGTGTAAGGAGCCTCTGGGACAACTTCAAGCATACCAACATCTGAATTATGGGGGTGACAGAAGAAGAGAGAGAGCAATATATTGAAAAGCTATTTGAAGAAATAATGACAGAAAACTTTCCTTACCTGGTGAAAGAAATAGACTTACAAGTCCAGGAAGTGCAGAGAACCCCAAACAAGAGGAATCCAAAGAGGACCACACCAAGACACATCATAATTAAAATGCCAAGGACAGCCAAAACCGCTTTGGCTCAGTGGATAGAGCGTCGGCCTGCGGACTGAAAGGTCCCGGGTTCGATTCCGGTCAAGGGCATGTATGTTGGTTGCAGGCACATCCCCAGAGGGGGGTGTGCAGAAGACAGCTGATCAATGATTCTCTCTCATCAATGTTTCTATCTCTCTATCCCTCTCTCTTCCTCTCTGTGAAACATCAATAAAAAAAAAAAAATGCCAAGGACAAAAGACAAAGAGAGAATCTTAAAAGCAGCAAGAAAAAAACAGTTAGTTACCTACAAGGGAGAACTGTCAGTTGATTTCTCAACAGAAACTATGCAGGCCAGACGGGAGTGGCAAGAAATTTACAAAGTGATGAATAACAAGAACCTACAACCAAGATTACTCTATTCGGCAAAGCTATCATTTAGAATTGAAGGTCAGATAAAGAGCTTCATACACAAGAAAAAGCTAAAGTAATTTATCACCACCAAACCAGTATTATATGAAATGCTGAAGGGTATTCTTTAAGAGGAAGAAGAAGAAAAAGGTAAAGATAAAAAATTATAAAAACAAAGTGACAATAAATACATATCTGTCAATAAGTGAACCTAAAAATCAAATGAATAAAAAACCTGATGGCCCGGCTGGCGTGGCGCAGTGGTTGAGCATCAACCTATTAACCAGGCGGTCAGGGTTCAGTTCCCGGTCGGGGCACATGCCTGGGTTGGACCCCCCAGAACATTGAGAACAGAGTTATAAAATTACAAACATTGAGACACTCAGTGCATTCTGACCTTGCTTAGGTGGTAAGCCACTTACCTAAGTAGCCTTGGGTCTTTTTCTGTAGTGCCGTGACCGGACAGTCTTTATGAGCTAACAGTAGCTGTTTCAACTGAGCCACCTCATTGCGTAGTAATGTGACTTCATTCTGGGGGTGGGAGGGAAGAAAACAGTATCAAGAAAATTCATCCTTCACTCTTTAACCCCCAGTGACCATCTCTCAAAGTGACGACAGAATACTGCCTGGATTTTCTCTTCCAAATCTGGAGACTTCTGACCCAGCGAGGCTTCAGCTAGCCCAGGGCCAGTAGAATCATGAGTTCGATAACAGGAGCTGCTTACAATGTAAGGTAGGGATTTACAATAGAAAAATTACTCCTATACAGGATAAACATGATTATACCAAAATTAATAATGCATAAGTCCTGTGACTAAGAAAGTCTACTTCCATGACTTCGAATCTATTTAACAGAATGACCTAGTCAAATGTGTATAATGTTCACTGCAGCATTGCTGTTCTAGCAAAAAATTAGAAACATTACAAATATCCAGACCTTGTAATGTAACTCCACTATAGAATGTACTACTTACTATCCAGCCATTTTAAAAAACACACAATCCCTCCCTGACTCCCCTACAAAAACTATAAATGAAGATAGTATTTAGAAATACATATATGTCTGGACTCTGGCTGGGTAGCTCAGCTGGTTAGAGCATTATCCTGATACACCAAGGTTGTGGGTTCAATTACGGGTCAGGACACATACAGGAATCAACCAACGAATGCATAAATAAGTGGAATAACAAATTGATGTTTCTTTCTTCTTTCTAAAAAAAAGTGTCTGGTAGGTGCACATCAAACTTACCTATAGGGAAAAGAATAAGTTTGGAAAGGCATGCTGAAGAGGGATTTTGTGGTGTGTTTTTTTCTGTTGTTGTTAATCCTCACCTAAGGATTTTTTCTATTGGTTTTCAGAGGGAGAAGGAGAAAGAGAGAAACATCTATGTGAAATAGAGACACATCAATTGGTTGCCTGCAGTAGCGCCCAATCGTGGGGGCTAGGATCAAACCATGATCCAGGTATATTCTCTTGACCGGGAGTTGAACCTGTGACCCTTAAGTGCTCAGATGTGGGGTGGAGTCCGGAGATGCTCTAACCCAGTGGTCAGCAAACTCATTAGTCAACAGAGCCAAATATCAACAGTACAACGATTGAAATTTCTTTAGAAATCCTAATTTTTTAAACTTAAACTTTATAGGTAGGTACATTGTTATTAACTTAAAGTACTCCTAAGCTGGCCTTTGCTAAAAACTCAAGGGGCCAAAGAGCCACATATGGCTCGTGAGCCACAGTTTACAGACCACTGCTCTAACCATTGAAAATACCAGCCAGGATGAGACTATGTTTTTCTGCTACCTCTTTGTGTGTATGTATGTGAAAATATTATCTTGTAATGAAATATTTTAAGTAATCAGAAGGAAAAATAATATTCAAGAAAATGTATGGCCCTGACTGGTTTGGCTCAGTGGATAGAGCATCAGCCTGTGGACTGAAGGGTCCCGGGTGTGATTCAAGGGCATGTACCTTGGTTGCAGGCACATCCCCAGTGGAGGTGTGCAGGAGGCAGGTTATCAATGTATCTCTCTCATCGATGTTTCTAACTCTCTATTCCTTTCCCTTCCTCTCTGTAAAAAAGCAGTAAAATATATTTTAAAAAAGAAAAGAAAACGTATGGATTATAATTGTTCTATTTTTGCTTGTGTGGCTTTTTCTTTCTTTTATTAAGCTGATTTATCTGGGACAAATGCATTTCCCTTTGGGTATTCCATGACCCCAGTCAGAGTTTACTGATGACTTAAAAGAGCATCCTGGGGTGCTTAATTTAATTCCCTTCATCCAAATGGGTCTATGAATAAATCATCCCAGTAGCAGATTTGGCAATCGATGATGTCTTTTCCAATCCCTGGGGAAGAGATTTCAACTCTGGCAGTAAGAGATTCTTCCTGGAACATCTTCTGTATCTGTCCTAACTTAAATAATTACCATCTTCTATTATATTGTCCCATTTTTTTCTGACTCAACACTTTCAAGACTCAACAATCTCGACAGCCATCTAGGACCCACTCACACTCAGCTGAATGTTCTGAGAAGTGAGTTCCTCTGCCTTCTTCTCTAGGGAGGACACCCATAGCTTCCGCTTCTGACGGCAGCGAGAGGCAGCAGCCCGGTTGCGCTCCAGAAAGCGCTGCCGCCGCTCATCCGGATCTTCATCCACCGTGCGCCGCCGGCGCCCGCCTGTGCTGGGGGTGGGCTGGGCTGGTGAGACCTGTTGCCCAAGAAGGAAACGGAGTTACTTGAAAGGAATTAAACCTGGTGTTAGGTATATTGGTAAGACCTGTAAAGGGATGTATCAATCTCTATAACCACAGCAAGTCTCATCACTGTGTATACCCTTAGCTTCTCTTTTGTAATTGTTCCCTCATTCTGCCTCCCATTTCCTTCCAGTCTTCTCAAGTCCCATACTTATACAACCAGAGCTCAGTTGGAAACTGATTATCTGAGACAGACAGACAAAATGAATCCAGGATCACTTTTTGTTTCTTATAGGGAATCTTGTAGGGAAGGAAAGCATAAAGAAGGATATCGGGAACTTTTAGCAAGTCTGGAATAAAAAGTTTACAAATCACTGATTTGAACAAGCAATAAATACAAACAACTGAAAATCTCCCTATGCAGTAACACCCTAGCACCACAGACCTACTAGTCAAGGATTCATGATCCTTTCTGTGGAAAGCCAAATTCCCACCACCCGAAAATTTTCTTTAAATTTCTATAATGGAAGGAGTCAGTCTCTTACCTATAAGGACCTAAGCTGGCTACACAGTAACTCTCACTGCCCTGATTTGTGGAACTGGTGCCATCTGGTTGGCATAGGAGCTCAGGGGCTCAGGTCCCCTCCTCCATGGAAAGAGGCTCTGATTTGAGCTTCACAAACTCTCGAGCCACTTCATCATTGCTCAGGTGGGTTTTTGTGTGTGTGTATGTTTTTTTTTTTTTTTTTTTTTTTTTTAAGACAATAGCTGAGAAAGAGATTAAGAGAACCTCCTTTGGCTGGTACACATACATCATTCTCATATAGGTAACACCAAAAATTAAGACCTCCTCTGTGACAGTTCTGTATTATCTAGTCTGCTTACAGGTAAGTATAACACAAGGGTGGATAAAGAATGGTACTTTTTACTTCTGTCAAATTGTCAACAAGAATCAAAGCACAGGAAGGTGTCCAGAAAGCTGAAATCTATTCTTCTCTAAATTTTCTGCTCATTGAAAAACATAGGACTTAAAAAGCAATGGTGACATAGCTGGTTCCTTCATCTAAGGGCCCAACTGACCTGTGGCTGGGCAGGGGATGGGGTGTCAGGGTGCTGGATGAGGATCTGGCTCTGCTCAGGACGTGCTGTCACCATGGTGCTGGCGGTACCCACCACCATTCCACAACCTCCATTGATTGAGGAGACTTGGTTAGTTAGGGTGGCTTTTAGTCTCTGTGGAAAAAGATAAGAAAAAAAAAATAAAAGGTTGTCAAGGGTAAGATTCTATCAAGGATGGGAAGAATGGGCTTGGATTTTATTACTGACTTACAAATAGGTAAAATTTCCATAACAATTTTCCCTTAACAGAGGAAATAAAAGAAAATGACGGGGAGAGAGTGTGCACCTGGATCCCTAAAATGCCTGCTCTATTCCCTGGCTGTCATCCTGGGCACAGTTGGAGGGTGGGGGTGGCTGAGGCAATAGAGTCCAGATGAAAGCTCTTTCCTGGAGCCCAGCCAGGCGCTGGTTACGCAGCTATTCACCTCTTGGCCAGCTCTCCTGCCCACTCATCCACCCTCCATCTGTCACCCTGGAACTGAAACAGCAAGTGTTCCTCCCCAAACAATCTGTGCTCCTCTTCACTGCCATGGTCTATGTACCAGGCTCTAAAGGTGGAAGGGAGGAGATGGGAGTCCGAAATTAGGGTCTCTTTTCCTACAGACCTCACAACAGGGTATCTTTAGCTTTGCCAAGTCCCAGAAGGGTCCCTTGCTTGGCTCATTTGAAAAACCTAGGCTGATACCACTTCTCTTACAAAGAGCCAATGTTGCTCCAGGCTGGAATATACTCACCATCTTGGCCTCTGATGGCATAGGGTGGCCAGAGGGAGAAATGGAACCACTGCTGTTAACCGGTGGGCCAGGGATACCAGGAATGTTGGGCACCATAGACACAGGTCTGGCCAGCTGGATCAAGAGAAGGAAGAAAAACCAGAGGGAACATAATAGTATTGGTGGGGCAACAGCTTCCCAAAATGCAGTGATTTTGAGATTGGCACATCAGGGCCTGTTCTGTGCAATCTGCCCACAGGGCATACAGGGATCCTGGGAAATACCTCCCCCACAGCACTGAATCTAATCTTCCAATGCTATGACAACTTCTATGGGAAGGCTGGGGCTATATTGAGGCAAGTGGTGGGCAATTTGGAAGGTTCTAAGAGCCAAGTGAAAGCAACCAATCAGCAGGCTGGCGAGATCAATTCCTAGACAAGGAGCCAATTGTCCAGATGAGCCTTTGTCTAGTGTTCCATAGTACTGGATTGGCAGAGGTTAGTGAAGCGTTTGGGCAGGCTTCCATGCTCCACTAATACAGACCAGAGCCCACTTTTCCCTGGGGCTCCTGTGTTTAAGAGCATTCAGGTGGAAGGGAGCGAGTGTGTGCTGGTAGGGCTGGCTGTCCCAGCTACAGAGCTTACCGATATAACAGAAGGCATCTGTACCGGAGGCCCTGGCAGCACAGGCATGGTCTGCCCATTAGCAAGATGCATGACGAGAGGAAGGGAGCCAGTGGGAGACCTAGAGGACACATGGAGTGAAATGCTCACAATACAGACTCTTTTGCCTATGGATCCTTCTTCTCCAGTTACAGAAGCTAAAGGGCAACATTGTGTAATCTTGATACCCTCATGAAAGTGGAAAAAGCAGGGAATGATACGAGATCTTTACACTTTGCAAATTAAGCAAATACCACTGAACTCAAATGGGTGGGAAGCAAATCCTATTAAGAGTTCTGAATAATTGCCCTGGCCAGTGTTGCTCAGTTGGTTGAATATCATACTGGGCACCGAAAAAGTCGCTGGTTTGATTCCTGGTCTGGGCACATACCCAAGTTGTGGGTTCAATCCCTGGTTGAAGTGCATATGGGAGACAAACTATTGACATTCAGAATAGATGGGCAGCTAAAGAGCTTCACATGTAAGAAAAAGCTAAAGGAGTTCATCATCACCAAACCAGTATTATATGAAATACTGAAAGGTATTCTCTAAGAAGAGGAAGAAGAAGAAAAAGGTAAAGATAAAAATTATGATCAACAAATACATATCTATCAACAAGGGAATCTAAAAATCAAGTGAATAGCCGAAACCAGTGGATAGAGTGTCAGCTTGTGGACTGAAAGGTCCCGGGTTTGATTCCAGTCAAGGGCATGCACATCCCCAGTGGGGTGTGTGTGTGTGTGTGTGCGCATGCGCGCAAGAGGTAGCTGATTGATGATTCTCTCTCATTAATGTTTCTAACTCTCTATCCTTCTCTCTTTCTCTCTGCAAAAAATCAATACAATATATATTAAAAAAATAAAAATCAAGTGAATAAAACAATCTGATGAACAGAATAAATTGGTGAATATAATAGAATCAGGGGCATAGAAAGAGAGTGGACTGACAATTCTTGGGGGTAAAGGAGTGTGGGGGGGTGCGGGAAGAGACTGGACAAAAATCGTACACCTACAGATGAGGACAGTGTGTGTGGGGGGAGATAAGGGAAGAGAGTGGAATGGGAAGGTGGAGGGGAGCTATGGGGGAAAAGAGGAACAACTGTAATAATCTGAACAATAAAGATTTACTAAATTAAAAAATTAAAAAAGTATTAAACCTCCAAATTAATGAAGTATTATCCTCAAATAAATACTTGCTGATTGCCGGGACCGGTTTGGCTCAGTGGATAGAGCGTCGGCCTGCGGACTGAAAGGTCCCAGGTTCGATTCCCGGCAAGGGCATGTACCTTGGTTGCGGGCACATCCCCAGTGGGGGGTGTGTGCAAGAGGCAGCTGGTCGATGTTTCTCTCTCATCGACGTTTCTAGCTCTCTGTCCCTCTCAATTCCTCTCTGTGTAAAATCAATAAAAATATATTTTAAAAAATTAAAAAAAAACAAACTTGCTGATCTACTCAAAAGGGAGAAGAATCTATTTATTTTGAGAGACAATCACAGTGCCCTAACTGGTTTGGCTCAGTGGATAGAGCATTGGCCTGAGGACTGAAGGGTCCCAGGTTTGATTCCGGTCAAGGGCATGTACCTTGGTTGCGGGCACATCCCCAGTGGGGTCTGTGCAGGAGGCAGCTGATCGATGTTTCTCTCTCATCGATGTTTCTAACTCGCTATCCCTCTCCATTCCTCTCTGTAAAAAAATCAATAAAATTTAAAAAAGAGACAATCATAATAACTCATTTTCTTTGAGTATTCAAATAGTCCCTGTTTTATCAAATAATTCTACAAAGCAGAAAAAAATTCAGACTTCATTATTTCTCTCTGCTCTTTACTTACCCCAGCTGCCTGTTGGATGGTGGAGCCTGTGTGATGACAGAGGTTGGGGAGGGAAGGGTTGGGTGAAGTGGATCATAGCCCAAGTGGAGAGGCAGGGAGCCAGGGCGTACAATGGTAGGCGTTGGGGTAGATATCACAACAGACTTTGGGGCAATTTCCTGGGGGAGAAGAGACCAACAGATCACAAAGAGCTTTAAGGGGCTGTTTATAGAGAAATATCGATATGTAGCTGGTAAAATCTAGCACAAATTTATTAGAAAGAGCATAGAGCAAGTCATGTCGCTCTAGGGTCACAGACCATACTCACTCACACATTCAGTAAAAATGCTGAATTAAGACCTTTTGGCTATCCCCCTTTCATCAGGGATGATGCCCATATGAATGAGATGACAGTTGCAAAATCACGTGAAATCTCTGTAGAAGCATTGTAGTATCATATAAATTCTAAAAATTGTTATACTTTTTCACAGTTTAGATAATGTCATTCTAAACTTGATACTGTCATTCTAAACTTTGTGTCCTTTGTTCTCTAACAGGAAATGGCAGGTACAGATATAAGACTGGTGATAAGGCAACCCAATATCTTCTTTAAACATGGGCTATGGCCGAAACTGGTTTGGTTGAGTGGATAGAGCTTCGGTCTGTGGACTGAAGGGTCCCAGCTTCGATTCCACTTAAGGAACATTGGTTGCGGGCACATCCTCGGTAGGGGGTGTGCGGGAAGCAGCTGGTCATGTTTCTCTTTCATCAGTGTTTTTAGATCTCTATCCCTCTCCCTTCCTCTCTGTAAAAAATCAATCAATAAATAAAAATATATATATATTTTTAAAAAACGGCTATGGAAGTTTAAATAATGATCAGATTGTAATAAAACAAATGCTTCCCTCTGTTAGGATCTTAAGTTACCACACTGGCCATGAAAACATCTCCAGACAGCTTCTAGGACCTGGTTGCTGATGAAAAGGAGAGAGAGGGGAAGGCTGTAATTTTTTTGGGTAGGGGTGGGGGAGTTGAGGTGGGGGAAGTGGTGGTGTAATGTTTATGGAGGGAATGGTTTTAGAAGTTATCAAACCAAATTTGGAGGGAAGTAAAATGAGCTATAGATGCACTATTTAAAGTGGATATTAAATTTTTTTTTTTTTAAAGATATTTTATTGATTTTGTACAGAGAGGAAGGGAGGGAGAGAGAGAGTCAGAAACATCGATGAGAGAGAGTCATCGATCAGCTGCCTCTTGCACATCCCCTACTGGGGACATGCCCGCAACCAGGGTACATGCCCTTAACCGGAATCGAACCCGGGACCTTTCAGTCCCCAAGCCGACGCTCTATCCATTGAGCCAAACTGGTCCCGGCTGGATATTAAAATTAATAACTGCTGGTAAAACAGTAGAGATTGGAAGGAGACATGAAGGGGCTTCTGAGGTTTTGATGATACCTGGGCACTAGTTACAAAGTCTATAAATTTAGTGAAAATTCAGTGATATGTAAGTGTATACTTACAATTTATGTACTTTTCTGTACATGTACTATATTTCAACAAATGTATAAAAAATACTTCTTAGCCAAAACCGAATTGGCTCAGTAGATAGAGAGTCAGCCTATGGACTGAAAGGTCCCAGGTTCGATTCCGGTCAAGGGCATGTACCTTGGTTGCAGGCACAACCCCAGTAGGGGTGTGCAGGAGGCAGCTGATTAATGTTTCTCTCTCATCGATGTTTCTAACTATCTCCCTTTCTTTCTGTAAAAAATCAATAAAATATATTAAAAAAATACTTCTTAAAATATTTTCTTAAAATTTTTTTCAGAATCCTAGCAGATATTCCCTTTAAGTCTCTAGAAGACTTACCTCCGGGAAAAATTAAAAAAAAAACCTTTTAAAGTCCAGTTTATAAACTGATTTTCTCTTTCACTTATTAATTAAAGTACTACATAGATACAGTAACGTGCATTGACTAACATGGAACTAAATGACTTTCTATATAGTATGTGAAATCAAGACAGAGCCCATTTCTAGCAACATGGAAGGTTCTCATGTATATCTTTCCCCACAAGAGGTTAAACATTATTCTGAGTTCTATCACCATCAAATAATTTTGCATTTTCTTGAACCTGATGTCAATAAAATTACATAGTATGTACTTCTGTGTATGAATTTTTTTTGTTATTATTCAATATAATTTATGAAATTCATCCTTATTATTGTGTATATCATTAGCTTATTTTTTTAAATGCCATGTATTATTCCATTTTATAAATATACTATACTTGGTTAATTTTCTTGCTGATGGACTACTTCTAGCTTTTTTATTATTATCAATAAAACTGTTATGAACATTCTCATACACTTCCTTGGGTGGACATACACACTAATTTCTGCATGGACTTAGAAGTAGAACTGCTGGGTCATGGAGTAGATGTAATTTATATAAATCTTCTGAACAAATAACATTTATTTGAATATATTCCATCTTCTGTATCATACACTATTTATACAACTAATGAAGCAAAATGTAATCTATTAATTAACCTGTGGGGTGACTTCTGACAGAGACTTTTACCTTGTCCTTGAGCACCGGGGAGCAGGGGCCAGAGGCAGGGCTGTCAGGTGGGGATGAGTCTACCTCCACGGGCCCCTCTTCTTTGACTTTAATGTCTGGTGTGGAAGGCAGAGACATGTCAAGGGGCCCTGCAGCAGCCTGCTGAGAGAGAAATGAGCATAGTTTAACCTCAAGATTCCCTTCAAGTTGAATCTATATCTTCCCAATTAAAAGATGAGGGAATAGTCAAAACCGGTTTGGCTCAGTGGTAGAGTGTCAGTCTGCGGACTGAAAGGCCCCGGGTTCGATTCCGGTCAAAGGCATGTACGTTGGTTGCGGGCACATCCCCAGTGGGGGGTATGCAGGAGGCGGCTGGTCGATGTTTCTCTCTCATCGACGTTTCTAGCTTTCTATCTCTCTCTCTTCCTCCCTGTAAAAATATATCAATAAAATATATTAAAAAAAAAAAAAGATGAGGGAATAAACTTCTAAGAAGTTTAGTCCTTGATCTAAGTGCCAAACTGCAAGTCAAAGAAATGTGAAGTCAAGGTTTATGTACTTCTCAGAGCTTCTGCTTCCCTAACTATAAGAGGAAATAACACCTGCTTCATCATGGGTGAATACTTAGAAAGATTCTGAAAGGGGAAAAAAACTCACAAATGCTTATAAAGACCCTGAAAGGGAAAAAAAAAAAAAAAAAAAAAAAAAAAGATGTGATTTAAATCCATCTAAGTATTATATTATTTTTCAGGAAAGTAAAATAATTCCTGAATCCAGTGCCTACCTTTTCCTAACCAGCTCAATTGGCCACTGGAGAATTGTGAACACTTTTTCTGCCAACCAGATGATAAATTATCCAATTATTAAAAGCAAATAAAGACAAATTGATGATTACCGAAAACAACATAAGAAAGACCTTTTTTAGGATATGCCCCATGTTTAATGGTGATATCACCCCCAAATCTGGAGCTAGAAGCTAAAAGTTAGGAAGACAGGGCTTCAGGGTAACAGAGAAAGGAAAAGATGATCACTTGATCCGTGAAAGAAATGGGAAGTTGGTCCTAGGAGTAGGACTGGAGAAAACCAGAAAGAAAAGAGAGTACATTCCTAGCACTGGTGCCACCACCTTACACAACCGTGGAGCCATAAGTGGCTTTGCAGGGAAAAGAAACAATCCGAGATGATGGCCCTGACACTGCACCATGACAGGGGCATGAACTGATGGCATTGCAGTTCAGTTTTATGACTACGTCGGTCCTTTGTTCTAGTCTTCCTAAATCCTACAATTCTAGGTGAAAGAGCAGTTTGTTTCTGACTCTTCCCTTGCTACCTTAATCCCTAAAAATGTTCTTGGTAGTTGAGCAAATTGAAGTTAGTCTGATGTCTACCACATTAGAGAAGGTGGTAATGGTTCTTTTTCTCCAGTATGATGGAGGTTAGCAATAGCAAAGATGGTTTCACTTCTGCCCTAATTTTTTCTACATTTCTAGGATGTCAGGCTCAACTGAGCTAATCCTGAGATCCCTGAAACCAGAGGGTGGTGGGAGGCGAGGCCTCTCAACGGCAGGTTTAAAGTCCCTCTGGGGCATCTCCCAGAAAAGCTGTGATTCAGGAAAGCTGTGGGCTCATCAAACTCTCCTGGAGATAACCTTACATTGAATCTGTGCTTCTCATCAAGGTGAGGGGAAGACAGGCAGGAGGAAATGCCAAGAGATACTCAATGAGGAAAGCCTCACCAACTCTGAGAGGCTTCTCAGAAGTGTCAACAGAGCAAAAATGGCCACGGAGAAGACCTTACGTTTTTTATGGGAGGCTAATTTTCTTGAATTTTCCTATAACGAGTTTGGTTTAAAAACCCTCACAATCTAGTGGGAACAATTTGACGTATTTCCCCCCCTTTCTTTCTTTCTTTTTTGTAATTCAGCTTGATCAATTGACTGATTTCTTTATTTTGGGGGAGGGAGAAATTATACCACATATGATGAAACATCTGAAAAATGAGACTGCCCTGACGTGTGGCTCAGTTGGTTGAGCATCTTCCCATCCACCACGAGGTTGCAGGTTCAATTCCTGATCAGAGTCCATGCCCAGGTTGTGGGGTTGATCTCCAGTAGAGGGCATGTAGGAGTCAGCCAATCAATGTTTCTATCTCTCTCTCCCTCTTCCTTCCTCTAAAATCGACAAAAACATATTTTTTTAAAAAGAGAGACTTGTGTCTCCAAAGAAAAAGAATGAGAAGGTTAGTTCTGCCTTTTGAAAACAGAACTACAAATACATGCCACTGAATTTCCCTGCCTTCTTTTAGTTTGAGTGAGGCAGCATAAGAAGAACTTATAGAAAGCTATGGAATTTGTAAAGACTTCCAGTGATATGGATACTTTATCTCGTATTCTTACAATTTAAGCTAAAGGGAAAAATCATGTACAATTCCCTTTCAGAAGGAAACAGCTTTCCTGGACATTTTTTCCCCCCTTATATTCTGGTTCTGCTATATTCTGATGGGATTTCATGTCTTACTGTGTCATGCAATTGTGGAGCATATATGTGGTTGATGTGTACATGTTCTGAGATCATATACTGGAATTTTTCTGAATTATTATGGAACACATACTTGATTTTAAAGTGACCAATAACCCAGAATTTCAATTCTAAAGTAGAATGAATTTTGACCTAAAATCCCTTGTACCATGGGAATTATTTTTATTTGACTCAGCTTCTTGAACTATTCCCTCTAATCTTCCAAACTGAAAGATTCTCTAAAGATTTGGAATATAAAGTCTAAAATCAGAACAACAGCAACTGAGGATGCAAAGGCATTCTCACAAACTTGCCACTGACAAAAAGTCATTTGTTTGACTTCATTGAGACTCACTACCTGAATGAGCCGGTAAAATCCATCGAAGAACTGGGTAACCACATAACCAACCTTAGCAGGTTGGAGGCCCCTAAAACTGGCATGAAGACAGACTTGTGCTGATCCATCATGTGGACCCTGAAAGACCGGGGTGGCTGACTAGGATTAGTGGGTATTCTCTGTTTCTATAGAACCAAATCTGTAATTCTGCTTTAACCAATTAAGCAAATTATCCCAGGCACAATGAGAATAGCCTACATTCGAACACCATCAGTTTTTCAGTATAAATCCCGCCTCTCACCTTTTTCTCATCCTCATCTGAAGCTTTCTTGAATTCATGTTCAAAGGAGCTAGCTAGTTCATTGAAGAGCCCCACCTCCTCACAGTTCTTCAGGAATCTAGTTGGAGTAGGAGTTTGATCTGTAGACATGAAGAGAAAGGAAATTCAATTTTAGTTTTGACCTCAAATTAAACTTGGGAGTATGCAGAGAGCACATTTCATTCTTCTGTCTGGAGAGAGAATCGTTGTTAGGGCAAATTTGCTTTTTGGATCTCTAGTAGGTGAAGGCTGGTGCTAGGCCACCAGAGGGTGTCTGTGCTGTGCTGCCTCAAGGCCAGCAGAAGGAAGACAGAACAATGTTTTGCTGTGTGACCATCCATGTAACCACCTTTCTCCCAGAGGCTGGTTTCACCTCCCTCACCCCCAAACCAAACCAAACCACCCATCAAGGTAGAGCTTGTGAAACCTTTAGATCTGAAAACCAAGTATAGTGAAGTGACATTTTCTCTTTAAATATATTCCCTGCTAGGTCTGAAGTGAGCAGTTATAAGCAGATGAATGTTAAAATCTGAGGAGGAAAAGAAACTGAGGCTCAGGTGGTGGTTTGTTTGCTAACACTACCAAATGAGAAATGGTGCACTGCCTTTCAGTGATCACTGCGGCATTTCAGGCAAATCTAGGGGCTAGGGAACAAGACAGCAAGATCATGAGCTAGAAAAGGAAACTGCAAACAATAGAACAGAAACCTGGGCCCAGAGTAAATTCCGGAAACCAGGATATTTGGATTTAGACTTGCCAGCCAAAATATCCTCTTAGGGGCTGCACAAATCTCACCTCAACACAGTGCCTCTCTACCCTTAGGAGGAAGAAGGCTCTCCGTAACCCATGGCAACTTTTCAAGCAACCCGAATTTTTTTTATTTATTTATTTATTTATTTATTTATTTATTTATTTATTTATTTATTTATTTATTTATAAATGTTTAAACCTGTTGTTTTTTAAAATACATTTTTATTGATTTCAAAGAGGAAGGGAGAGGGAGAGAGAAATAGAAACATCAATGATGAGAAAATCATTGATCGGCTGCCTCTTGCATACTCCCTACTAGGGATCAAGCCTGCAATCCAGGCATGTGCCTTTGATCAGAATCAGTCTGCAGGCCAACGCTCTATCCACTGAGCCAAACCAGCTAGGGCCAAGCAGCTTGAATTTTAGATGTGAACTTCTCTCTCCCCATTCTGTTTATCCAGTTTTTCTCTTAGGTCAGCTGAATCTTGTTCCCTGATCTTTTAAATATATTTTTATTGATTTTTTACAGAGAGGAAGGGAGAGAGCTAGAGAGCTAGAAATGTCGATGAGAGAAACACCGACCAGCTGCCTCTTGCACACCCCCTACCGGGGTTGTGCCTGCAACCAAGGTACATGCCCTTGACCGGAATCGAACCTGGGACCTTTCAGTCCACAGACCAACGCTCTACCACTGAGCCAAACTGGTTTCAGCCTGATCCTAACTCTTTTAGATAGTTTTCCTTGACATGATAGTTACCTCATGGATTCATCTCATACCCCAAAGCACTAGGTTGAATGACAGAAATAGAACAATGTTTAAATAATATTTCAAGGAGTGACACCTAGTATTAAAATTGCTCCTTCTAGCATGATCAATTGGGAATAATCCAGTGGGATTTTCCATGGAAACAACATAATTTAAAAATTTTTTAAACAAAACCTCTTCTGAATCAGAGTGTTTGGAAAAGTTACCACTACTTCCCAAAATAGTTTTAAAAGCTTCTCTGGCAGCTTTGGTTGGCCAACAATAAAGCCACTTTCCCTCCATCCCTGGGTGAGTAGAGGTAATATCATCCTTTATGCTTAGAGAGCACTTCAGTAAGGACACACAAAAAATTACCACTCAAGTGAACCAGGATGGGGCAGCTAAGGGCATGGCTATGCAGAAGAGGGCCTTTGGATCTCTGATCTGAGGCTCACACAAACTTCTTCCATTCCTGAACAATGTATAAGGAAACCTTTAACCTGCTCTGATGATTCTGAAGCAATCAGCAAGTGTTTACTGAATACCTTTTATCTTTTGGTGCTACATGCATACATTTGTGTAGAAATCTGGGGGAGAAGAGAAATATGAATATAGGAGTTTTGCCCAAATATAAAACATGGCTCTTGCCCTAGAGAATAAGAGAATACTTTCTAGATGAGGAAATAAAACAATTATACATAGATAACATCATAGTATACAAAAGTCATGTGCAGTAGAAAAATAAACTTATTGCAGAAATTAAATAAAGATAAATTAATGACAAGTAGTTAGGAGGACTTGAGTTGGGTCTTACAAGAATGGCTTCAGGTGCTAAGGTGGGTGAAGGCATAGAAAGAGGCAGGACATAGGCATCATGTATATTTGAGAAGAAAAAGGTATGTCTAGGTCAAAGGATAATTATGTTAGGTATATAAGTTGTATATAAAGTTGGGCAGATATCATGGGGCTAGGTTACAAAAGGTCTGAAAATCCAAGTATGAATAGCCTTAAAGTAAGAGAAAATGGGAAAATAATGACAGATTTTGCGGGGAGGAGAAGAATTTAAGATTGATTGGCTACCTCCTGCATGCCCTCTACTGGGGATCGAGCCGACAACTCAGGCATGTGCCCTTGACCAGAATCGAACCAGGGACCTTTCAGTCCGCAGGCCGATGCTCTATCCACTGGGCCAAACCAGCTAGGGCGGGAGATTGGCTTTTTAATAGAATGAAGATAGATTATATAATAGACTAGTCAAGGAGAGAGACCAGGTAGGAGACTATGGGGGAGAATTCAAGCACAATGAGGGTAGTGGCAGGAAGAACAGGATGGAACAGAAGAGAGAGAATCTGAAGAGAAAAATAAAACAACTCAAAATTTTGAGAATATCATCACTGAATAACAAAGGAAAAGAAGTTGGTTTAGAGGACAAAGATAAATTTGGTCATCGACATGAAGATTTGAATGACAGAAAGCCAGCCAAGCTAAGTGTTCAATTAGGAGTTGGAATACATGTGAGACACCAAGTCATAATTTACAGATATGAGAATTAGCAGCCTAAATAGAATAGCTGAAGTTATGCGCAATGGGATGAGCATTCCAGAACAGCATGTAAAAAATAACAGAAATCACTTTCTCTCCTGGGGACTGTCCTGTATCAATTTCTCACCACTCCTGGAGACTAAGCATAGGCCTTTACACCATTTCTAATAACCTCTCCAACTTGATAACCTTGCCTCAAATTTACCTCTTTCATAAATTATCTATGACTAATTCCATTTAATATTAATTATCTTAGTATTTTTGTTTGTATTATTCTTTTAAAAATATATTTTATTGATTTTTACAGAGAGAGAGGGATAGAGTTAGAAACATCAATGAGAGAGAATCATCAAACAGCTGCCTCTTGCACACCCCCACTGGGAATGTGCCCACAACCAAGGTACATGCCCTTGACCTAAATCGAACCCGGGACCTTTCAGTCCGCAGGCCAACGCTCTATCCACTGAACCAAACCAGTTTCGGCTTTGTATTATTCACTTATATTAAATTACAAATACTAAAATTATTTTCATGAATATATGACCTGACTTAATAAATTTAAGTATGTTACCTGAATATGTTAAATCCTATAGTCACTCTTTTGTCTAAAACCTCCACTAACTTCCTTCTTTTTTAAATTTACATTTTTATTTATTGATGAGAGAGAACATCAATTTGTTGTTCCACTTATGTATGCATTCATTGGTTGCTTCTTATAAGTGCCCTGACTGGGGATCAAACCCAAAACTTTGGCATATTGGGACAACGCTCTAACCAGCTGAGCTATCCAGCCGGGGATCCCTCGAGCTTTCTTTCTTTCTTTTTCTTTTTTCTTTTTTCAATATTTTATTGATTTTTTACAGAGAGGAAGAGAGAGAGATAGAGAGTTAGAAACATCGATGATAGAAGAACATCGATCAGCTGCCTCCTGCACACTCCCCACTGGGTGTATGCCCACAACCAAGGTACATGCCCTTGACCGGAATCAAACCCGGGACCTTTGAGTCCGCAGGCCGATGCTCTATCCATTGAGCCAAACCGGTTTCGGCCTCCCCTGAGTCCTTTTTCAGGAATTACAAGCTCCTAGCAAAGTAGATATTCAGTCAATATTTGCTTCATTAATAAGGAACTGGAGATCTGTAAGGGCAAATACCTTTCTTCATGTATAGAAGTATGGAGAGAGGGGTTCAATACTGATGCAAGCTTGCTTAACTCAGGCTAAATCAGAACCCCTCAGGGTATTGAAAGAAAAGGCCCACTTTGGTTTGTATGTTTGTCTAGCTGAAAATGGCACAACAGAACTGTTACTACATGGTTTGAGAGAGTTTGCTGAGAATGGTCCCTAGAGTTGGCAAGACAAATTCTAAACAACCAGTGAGAGGTTCCAGGTCACCCAAATTGGCACAGAAAAGTCTCACTGACAAATGTCTTGTTTGAACTTTGGAAATGTACCCTCAATGGTGTCTGGGTTCACAAGGGAAGCTGAATTTATGAACTGACAATCTGCCTGCTTGGGGAAAACTGACACCCAGTGGATAAGAAGCAGCCAGACGAGGTCGGCTTCCCTGCTTTTGTTCACCCCTTCATTATGGGTAGGGAGAAATGTCAAAGGCATCTTCTGTCTATAAATCTTCTAAAGTCTTAATAAAAAGAAGGCAAGGAGGAAATAGACTGAAAAAAAAAAGCTAAGACAAAACCTCAACACACCCTCAAAAACCGAAGAACCCAATCTTATATTAAAAATAGAGAGGAGAGGGCACAATAGAAACTTGGGAGCTTTTAGTGTTCCTTTTTCCTGATTAAATGCAGATCACATAAGGGCTCTTAATGGGAGAAGGGGAGGGTAGCTCCCAGTACATCTGGTCCCTGGTATTAATCTTAATTGTGGGGCGATATCAAGGCATGTGGCTTCTGGGGTAGCAAATACCTGCAATGATGACTGAGTCAGTTCGGGCTGGGCCAAATTTCAATGTCATCTCATGCTTGTGTTTATGAACTGCCAGGTGGTCCTCGTTTGTAAATCTCTGAAACGAAACAGAAATGGAGATGTGTAAAAACAACAACAACAACAACAACACTTCAGTGCCCTTTTAAAATGTCCTACCAAACATCCTGTGATAAGGTTAGTTGCTGGAAAGAGGGATTGAACAGGGACTGGAAAGGAGGCAAAAATTGGAAGTGAGGGGAAAGGAGAGGTGATAGATTTAAAAAGAGAAAATGGGGAGGAGAAAAAGAGGCACTATAAAGCTGGGAGGAGAGAGGAAGGGGAAGAGTGTAGCACCAACTGCTCTGTAATATTAGGTCCAAATGAGAGAAATGGACAGACTGTTGCTGAAGTGGAATCCAGGCAGGAGGCTTCAAATGGGGGGGAGGAGGGGAGGACACGACACGACAAAAACATTAAGGCAAACTTATAGTGAACAAGGGGGAAATAATTTTTAATAATAATAATAAAGAGAGAAGGGAAAGGCTGGGCACTCATTGGTCATCACAAAAATAGGGATTCAGAAGTAAGCTCTCCATGGTGGGGCTGAAATGGACTATTTATGAGGGGGTAACGGAGATAAATTATGCAGGATTAGGAGAACAATTTAACTTCCTGGCCCCACAATGCTGCAGCAGGAGCCTGCCCAGCTATTTGGCTCAGGGTTTTAATGAGTCAGGATGGAGCTGTAGAGGACAGAGACCCAATGGCCAGCAGTAATGGCACACACCAGCCCCATTGGCCAAATGCTGTCTCCCCTCATTGGGCAGCCCGCCTGGGCTCCGTGAGCCATAAAGGGGCCAGAACTGTGCTGCTGGCTATGGAATGGCAGAATAAAAACGCAAGCAGATTTTTTGTTGTTGTTAGGGTAGGGAGAAGCCAGTAGGCATGATGAGGGGAAGGGAAAAGAAGATGGTATAGAGATTTTATTTATTTAGGGATTTGGGTGAAAGGACAATGAAAAGGTGAGGCTAGGTCTGCCTCAGTTTATGACTAAATAAGACAGGGTTACTGGACAATAATTTATGCTCGGACGTGCTCTTTAAAAGGGGGAGGTGAAGAGAACAGATGAACAGCAGTAATTCAAAAGAGTGATATCCTCAACATTCCTTTTGAGGCTGGCTGGCCACATTCCCTCATTAAAACACACCTACAACACAAAACAGCGTGGACACTGCAGCTTTTTACAGTTCCTTCACCAGCTAGGCTCTGAAACACAATCCTTTTGTCTCTAAAAAAAAAAAAAAAAAACCTGATTGGTTAGTTCCCTCTTTTTACTCGCTTCATTAAACATCTATTTCCCTCCAAACAATGTACCTTTAGTCCTCTTTTCCACAGCTCTTCTTCTTTAAATTGATTTTAAAGAGAGAGAGGAAATATCAATCTTTATTGTTCCACTTATTTATGTATTCATTGGTTGATTCTTGTATGTCTCCTGACCTGGGATCAAACCTGCAGTCTTGGTGTATCAGGATGATACTCTTAACCAACGGAGGTACCTGACCAGAGCCCCTACAGCTCTTCTTGCTTGTAAATTAAACAGAGAGGAGTTAGCCTCATCCCAGCTACTATCAAGTCAAGTAAGCATCATTAAATTGTTTAAGTTCCTTTATTTTACCTGAAAGTTGGCTTACCCCAAGTTTTCTCTGAGCCCCTATCACGACTAAAGCCAGCTTAAGACCTAAAATCCTTCTAGGTCAGGTGCACAGGCCTGAAGGACAAAGGGAAATTCTAATTAAAAGTATGAAGGCCCAGGTTGGTGTGGCTCAGTTGGTCGAGCATGGTCCCATGCACCAAGAGGTTACTGGTTTGATTCCCGTTCCGGGCATGTGCCTGGTTACAGGCTCCATCCCCAGTAGGATGTGCAGGAGGCAGGCGATCAACGCTTCTCTTTAACATTGGTTTCTCTCTCTCTTTTTTTTTTTTTTTTTAAATTGTTTTTAATCACTAAAAGCATAAAGAACCAACAAATAAAACAAGTAAAAACAGTCAAAAGAAGAATGTCTTAGTGGTTTCCAGTGAATCAAGTGTTGGGAAATTTAGCCAAGAGCTTTCATGTTCTCTACTATTTGGTTAACCCTAGGCAAGAACTTTTTCCAACACAGCTTTTTCCTTAAGGAAAGAAGGATGGGGTAGGGTGAGAAAGGAAGGAATAATAGTCTGTTACCCACGATATGATATTTATTGGTTAAACAAGTCACCGAGACTGCCAAGTGGTCTATAAAAGGAAAAGAGCAGAAACTAGTCTACAATAGAGAAAAAGCACCATTTTGGAGGGAAAAGAATAGTAGTGAACTAGACAGGGGTATAAATTTTCAAAATGCACTGGAAATGTTGTAACCATCTTTTCCAAAAATATGTTTATAAATTCTTCAAGAAAATTTCATGTAGGGAGCTTGGAAAATTCTGCACAATGTTCTAGAATCTAGAAGACTAACTTTGAAACAGAAAGTATTTTTCTATTATCAGAAATACAGTTTGCTCAAAACTGAGCTGAGAGAAAGATTTTAAATCTCCACCAGGCTTTGCTCTGATTAGGATGGTTTAATATTTTAAAAAGCAACTCCTCTTCTGTTACAACTCTGCAGCACAGTCCTGACTTGTTTTGTTTGTCCTCTAGTTCTTGTTCCTCTTTGCTGCACCTCCCTCCCTTCTATGACATCCTTTTCTTCTTGAGCTATTTATTTTTCTCCAAATCAAAAGTTGGGGCTGAAGAGAACTAAAGGTGGTGAAGAGATCTCCCACCATTAGCATCTCAGAGGGGTTGATAACTGTGAAAATGGATAGGGGAAAAAAATTCCATCTTAATCCTCATAAGTTCTATCTGAAACCTAACATGCCTAATTCAAAATAGCAATCACACATATTTTCACATCATATTACAGCTATTAAAAATCTCAAAATATTCTTTATACTCATCACTTATACTTTGAAATGATGATAGTCACCAGAACTACCATTAGAACTTGCTATTTAATGGATTACTAAAAAACCACATATATTATATTATAAAATATTTAAAAAACATTTTTGACAACTATCCTATCTAATAAAGAGGAAATATGCAAAATGACATCACACCTTAACAAGATGGCTGTGCACACAGAAGAGGCAGGGATTCCCTAACACAAGATGGCTGCGCCCACAGCTGAGGCTGAGTTCCTGAAACGAGCATTAAAGAGCAGGGACCTGAGGCTGTGCCTCCCGGCCTGATGGACCTCAGGTAAGGCCCAGCAGGGCTTGACAGGGACCTCAGGCCGTGCCCCCAACCTGGCAGGATTTGACGGGGGACCTGAGGCCATGTCCCCTGCCTTGATGCCAGGCCGGGAGAACTTGAGGCCATGCCCCTACCCCAGTGCCGGACTGGGGGACCTGAGGCTGCACCCCCCCCACCTGGCAGGGCTTGACGGAGTTGGGGCCAGTCAGGTCTGAATCTTGTGTAATTTTGAGGCACACATAGGTGGGTGGGGACTTGACTCTGATTCTCATGGTGCACCCCAGACTCTGACAAGGAGGAATATTTTCATATACATTTTACCAATTTTCTTTCATCTCTGACAGGAAGGGCAAATAGCAATATTAAAATATTTCCTCTAATTAATTCCCTTTTAATATATATGAATTTCATGCAATGGGTCACTATTATTTCAAAATAATTGGTTTCCTTTGTAATCCTATGTATTACACTTTATTAATTTTAAAACATGATTTTGAGAAGGGGTTTATGGCTTCACCAAACTCCCAATGGGGGTCATGACACCACAGAAATTAAGAATCTCTGATTACACCTGGTAGTATACTCAGGAAGAGGACCAAAATGGGCTGAATTTTACAAGGCAGGGCTCCAGTCATCTGTCTCTGCTATTTCTATTTATTTATTTATTTATTTATTTATTTAAATTTATTTTAGAGAGACAGAAATAGAGAGAGAAAAGCACAGATTTGTTGTTCCACTTATTTAGCATTCACTGGTTGATTCTTTTATCTGTCCTGATTGGGAATTGAACCTACAATCTTGGGGTATGTGTTTTTTTATTTTTAAATATATTTTATTGATTTTTTACAGAGAAGAGGAGAGAGGGATAGAGAGCTAGAAATGTCGATGAGAGAGAAACATCGACCAGCTGCCTCTTGCACACCCCCTACTGGGGATGTGCCCGCAACCAATGTATATGCCCTTGACCAGAATCGAACCTGGGACCTTTCAGTCCACAGAGCAACGCTCTACCACTGAGCCAAACCGGTTTTGGCTATCTTGGGGTATTCGGATGTTGCTCTAAATAGCTGAGCTATTCTGCCAGAGCTCTCTGATATTTCTAACACAATTCTTGTACAGCTAGAGTAGGAGGGGGAGAATAAAAGTTTAGTAAAGCTTTTTATCAAAGTGAATGTCAATTTGGCTTTTATTCCATTGTTCTTTATAATCCCTCTCATTATTAAGAGTTAATTCTTCAAAAAAAATATTTTATTGATTTCTTACAGAGAGGAAGAGAGAGGGATAGAGAGTTAGAAACACCGATGAGAGAGAAACATCGATCAGCTGCCTCTTGCACACCCCTTATTGGGGATGTGCCCACAATCAGGGTACATGCCATTGACAGGAATCAAACCCAGGACCTTTCAGTCCACAGGTGATGCTCTATCCATTGAGCCAAACCGGTTTCGGCAAGTGTTAATTCTTAATAATTCTCTAGATTAGTCTTGAACTGCATGCCTAGGAAACTATCCCTCTGTAAGCAAATTTTCTAAGTACCTAAAATTATTAGGTGATGAAATGTTGGTTGTGTTTTTAAAACACATTGAATTACAATGAGTGGAGGAGCTCTCCCCAAAATTTCCTTTTTGAATTATTGGCCACTTGAAAATCTAGTTGTCCCATTGTTAATATCTTTGTTAATGGGTCTTCCTTTGTTGTTTGGTTTTACCTAGGACTAAGGTTTTGGCAAAGAGCCACTTAGGGAACTCTGGTTGAAGGGAAAATTATAATTTTCAGTAAATGTGTAGAAATTTCCAAGACACAGAAGGTGGACATTATTCAAA